AGACTAGTATTGGTAGTCACAAACGATGATGCAGCAATAGCACTGGTGCAGCTACTCGTGCCAGTGCGACTAGGAATAGTCATGACACCCAGGCTCATCATCATAGTAGTCATACCAATCACAAGGGCAATAACACTCTGAGTGTCCGACCAACGAGCTGGGTGGTGCTGGCACCTGGCAGTTGGAACGCTCATAAGGACCGCCAATTACTCTAAAGGACCCGAAGCTTACATCCAGAATCGCAGAAACAGAGAGATCACGCTGCCTCGCATGGAGGTCACAATTTAACCGGCGGTTCTCTGCAAGGCAAGGTGTCATCCCAAAACAATGTCGGAGTGTGGGATGACGCCTCCGGCATCCGGAGAAGTGCAGGAAGTCCAGGCCTCAAAACGACGCTCGGATCGGATGGCATGGGCTTTCCCTTTCTTCACAGGCGTAATTGGGTTTTGGGGTCCATTATACTGATTATACTGTGATTGTAATAAGGAATCCCCAAAACAGTATATATATATATATATATATATATATATATATATAGGTAATCTTCGAAAGGCCCCCTAAAGCAGGTTCAAGATTCGGGTTGTACGAGACTGTTCTTACCTGCACATTCCCCCGGTCGACTGATCCGTGTGCAGCTATAAACCCGAACAGTGATACCAAACCCATCGAACAGGTAGCGGACACATGGCATGCCCGACTTGAAGAAATTCATAGGGATGGGCAACATTTAAAGCGACATTCTTCAAATTGAGACTGTAGAACTGGGACAGTAATGGAGGGAATCATTCCAAGACTCAGCAAAAACGAAAGGCCCTTGGTGCCCAGCTTGTCGGTCATCCGAGGGGCCGTTTGGGTCAGACCTGGCAATTTTTCAGCACAGATTGGAGAAGAGTGCGAATTCTTCCAGAGGGGAAGAAACTGCTTTGGATGAGCTTCGCTGTCTCAGGCGCTGTACTGGGACAAAGTCAAGAAGGCCAAAGCAGCTCATCGTCTCAGACTTCGTGGTGGCCGACCTTGCAGAGACTGCCCGCACTGCACCACGTCGCAGTTCAAGTTCACGCGTCAGATGATAGCACTACTCTAAGCACCGGCACATTGCTGACCGGAGTGCTGATGACGGTCACGACAATAGCACTTCTGATCGTAGACTGTTTCATGACAGGGTCAGTGCAATGGCTTCAGCAGTTTCATATCCCGTCAACCCAGAAAAGACTGCACTCGTGTCGTCGTCGTCGTAGTCTCGCCGTAGTAGTCGTGTTGGTCGTAGTGGTGGTAGCGACTGTACCAGGAAGCTCCACGAACACGAAGCATTTCCGAACGTCGTGAGTGGACTTCATCGCCTCAATTGAGCACCGGGCATGCTAGCCGCGTGCAGTCCGGTTCGTTGCAACCATGGCCTGGGAACTCAGGTTTGCATGAGGTTGCGTTCTCCACAGTCATCCAGAAGGTAGAGCAGAAATCTGCGAACGAGAGCTCAGCTCCTGTTTCATCTTTATGAATCAATACACGCCAACAACATCAGTGAGTCTTCATAACCTTGTGCTGAAGGTAGGAGCTACGAGGCATTAACAAAGTCTAAAATCATTCGGAAGGACACGCTGCAATCGCATGAAGGCGTGGACGGGGCATTCCTTTGGGGCATGAATCCCGAACTTCCTCGAGAGCCTCACCGACCAGTGTCAACAAGAGATGCAAGCGCACAGTACTCTCGGACAGCAGCTTGGACTGCTCGTGAGCTTGAGCTTCCCGGGACTTCCGCTGAAACCTCGGCAGCCACCAGCGACCGTTTTGAGGCTACTCTGCCTCTTGTGGTCGTGCCACACGTCCCTTCCTCCCATATTGACCATCGCAGAAAGGTCGGTACCAGTTCATCCCTCTGCTTGTCGAAGTCTCCAAGGCTGCAGCGTCAGCCCAGCGTACTCAGTATTCACGTTCGACTCCTTGAACCTCCGTGCAGGCTGCAGTACATATTGTTCTTGAGTGAAGCCTGGAATGGTACAGAATGAACGGCAACTCGAATGAACAGCCACGAATGATAATGAAGCACTGGCTGCGGCTACAGTCACACGTTCTAGAAACAGAGTCGACATTTTACGGCATCTCAGCACAACTGAGCCCTGCGCCAGCCAAGACGTTTGCTCAAGTCATCTCTAATGGACTCGAAGCGAAGACTGGCCCTGAGCGAACATGGCTTGAGGGTTTAGAGTTCCAGGATTTGAGGTCTAGGGCTGCGGTTTAGGATTTTATGGCTGAGGTCGAAAGTAAGGTTCCGGCTTTAGGGTTTCGGGGTTTGGGGGTGTTGCTGCAGATATTCACAGCACTGCGCAGCACGGATGTCGTTCTCAAGTAGGGCTCCCTTCAAGGGACCTGCCCTATTTCTTCGGAGAAAAATGGAGTAACAGTACTACCCTAGCCACACTTAAGGGCAAGCCCCAGATCTGCTCAGAAGATTCCCTTTTTGTTACGTGTCATTGACAACCAACTGACACAGATCAGTTGATCAGAACAAGATGCCAGCGCTTCTTCGAGGGTGTCATCTTCACTGAGAGCAGCACGGACCCCACACTTCCAAGGTGAGCTCCCGCCTGGGAAGGTTTTGAACCCACGGATGAGTGCATGCTTGCGCTTGACAGCATGTTTCATGGAGGCTGACGGTTCATACGGTGGGAGCAGCAGTATAACCCCCATGAGCAGGGTACCGTCGGCGGCAAGAAAGTGCAAGGCTCCATGCCTAGATGCACGTTCTTAGATTTTAAGCACCATGCAGACCATACCTGCCAAGCTGTTGATCGGGGGTGGGCCGGCGAACAGAAAGAAGTAACTGACAGAGCTTGCACTCAGTATTGTACACTACATGCTTTAAACCAAGAAAGAGGACACATCACGTACACTCACACTCTCTCTCCGATATGTATGTATACTGTGTACATACATATATATATATACACACACATATACACACAGATAGACCTTCACTATACATACATATGTATATATATATATATAATATAATATAATATAATATAATATAATATAATACAATATAATATAATATAATATAATATAATATAATATAATATAATATAATATAATAATATAGTTATACTATACATGTATAATTTGCAACTTGACTGTTCAAGTGATAAGTAAGTGTGTGTGTGTGCTAAGTTCTGAGGACCCTGCTCCTTCGGTGACAGCAACCTTGCACATCGGGAGCGAGGAGACGTGCTGTGAAGGGAGCCGCAATTGGGGTGTAGGGTCTGGTACACTCCCCCAATACTAACATGGAGTTTGAAATGCTCGCTTCCACAGGATGGAGCCTTGCCTTAGCTGCTGCAGGCAGAGATCGTGGAGCATGAGCCGTGGGACGGAGGTAGAGAAGCTTCACAAATCATTCAGAAGAGCTCTTGCAACACGCATTCGATCTGGAGTTTGTCAAAGTTAAGTAGCTAAAGCCTCGAACTGAAACATGCCGCTTCCCAACCCGCATTACGCGGTCTCCACGTGCAACTCTCCAACAACTGCAGAGCTTCGTCCTTTTCTAGAATTCAATGCATCGAATACCTGGATGTTTAAACGCAGGGAGCACATCTGGAGGCTTCTGATTCTGGAGGTTGGATGCCGACGGAAAGATCGCCTCGATACGAAGGCAATTGCGTGAACGGTTGCTGCCCCAATTTGCTGCTCAGGGGCATCTCTGTCATCGCTTTGATGTCGCCACCTCGGCTGCTTTAAGGTCTGGTCTCCACTTGCCTCAAGATGATTCAAGAGCTCCAGACTCACAGAACGGTGGAGCCAGTCTTGCCCTTCGCGGAAGTTTGGGGGACCCTCTTCACATGCAACCGTCCGTTGGCACCACGCGCCTTATCAGATTTGGTGCAATCCGCGGCCAAAGTTACACGCTTGGTACATGAACTGAGTCGGGGGAGCGGCGCACACCGTTGACTCCCCAGATCGTGCTGTTCGGAAGCACGAGGCGTGCACCTCGATGGCGGGGGCTGCTTCAAAGACTGTGCCTTGGTGCTTTCTGGACTTCCGCTGGCTCTGTACCTCACGTGATATCAACATCCTTCTCCTCCACAGCTACCGGCCAGAGGGTTTCCAATGTGCATCAATGGCCGTGCGAGTAGACGAGCAATTTGCAAAGAACTCTCGCTCGTCTGTGTGCAGCTGAGAGCATGCCTACAAGCAGCCGGATTTGGCTGCGAAGACGGCAAGACACAGGCAAGCAAAACGAAGCGGCACAGTCAATGCATGGGAACCCCGGAGATGTATGTGGGTTGAGGTATGTGGTTGTTCAAAGCTTCGCTGCTTCGATTTATTGACGCCGAAACCCATTCCCAGTCATACGTCTTTTTTCAAGCACCTCCGACTTCACCCTGAGACACTCACCGGCACCGACTTGCTTCAGCTGGGCCCAATTCCAGCGATCTATGGGACCATCCTCACAAACGAGGATACGAACATGGGAGTTTTCGGATGAAGTTCGACGTGCAAACTTCAGGCAGCCGCCAATCTGGATGTAACGCAAGGTGCAAGACAGTGGGTTCAAGGTTAAGTTGCCTGTTCGTACCTACGTCATTGTCTTAAGCTTGGCCCTGACCAGGGCAAGCTGTCGGAGTCTGTTCAACGAAGCAGATGGCTCAGCAGTGGCACACGCCGCATGCATGAACGCTTGCAAACAGTGCCTGCTGGACCCATGTCACCACGAAGGCCTCACGGCTTTCAGGAGGTGTTTCCGGCTCGCAACTACTTCGAAAGATCCGCTTCAGACAAGGTGTGGACTTCCTGAATGCTTGCATGAATAGAGGGTGAGACCGGCATAGCTGCAGTATCAAGTGGTTCCAAATACTTCAACTCGCATGGCCTTTCTGAGACAGTGTAAAGGTGTGGGTCCAAGCTGTTTTGCTCTGAGGTCGTGGCACTCCAATGCCGTGCCACCCAAACATGCGGGTTGCCAACAGCCAAACCTGCCACGTGCACCGTACTGACAGTATCCGCTACGTGATCAGCAATGGGCACCACTGCAAAGTCTGAATGTTGCGCCGTTGCGCTTCCTTTCGAAACACGACACGGAGCACGATCCACGCCTCACGAACCCTGGGGGTCGGTTATCGAACATGCCAGGATTGTCTGAACCCGGCTGGGCCTTTAACTTCTTCCGGATGCCGTCCACACAAGACTAAGACAACCTAAAGATGCTGCGCCCGCCACCCAAACCCAAATCCTAAAATCCTAAACTCTAAACCCTCTGAGCTTTGCTCGGAAGGCCACAAGCAGGCACCAGGCCGAGGCGGCCATATCTCTTCAGGTGAAGTTCGACATCGTCCAGCTCCGCAGCCTCCTTCTCTCTGGCCTGTCGTAAGGTATTTTGGGCTGTTCGGATTGCTGTGAGGTTCAATGGTTGGCGACTGAGGTTGGATACCATGACATACCATACCATGCTTCGGTTTCCAAGACTCGTGCTTTGAAGTCTCGTTTCAGGTATGGCGCAGAGTTGCGAGGCAGAGAAAGCGGGCTAGGCTTTGAACTGCCGGCACAGACACTGTGTTGGCATTTTGATTCGGATCTTTCCATGAGCACTCCCCACAATACATCCAGCGATACCGAAATCCAACTCACAAGCCCGAGCTTGCCTTTGTCATGATCATTGCCAGTTCCAATTTCTCTGCTTTTGCTAGTGGGCGTAAACTGTTACTGTCACGATTGGTTTCATCGTCGTCTTCTTGCTATCGTCCTGTTTACGATCAGACAACAGACAACAAGTAGCAGGGATCATGGCAGTACTCCTAAACTCTCCAGCCTGCAGCACCACGACCATGAGCTCATCCTCCGGACCGGGGAAAACTCGGCTGGTGGCCACGTTCTCCTCAGGGCATCCGGCCAGACACAGCACATCCAACTTGTAGTCGGGGGCTCCGGCACAATGTCCTTCGAAATCGATTCTCAAGCTATGCAAAGTTAGGGTTTAGACACTTCAATTGCAGCTTCTTTTTGGAAGGCACAGTGATTCATGGTCAAATCCTTTTTCGAAGCACAAGCCCACTGTCGCAGAGTTCGAGTCCTGCTTCTCACCGTTGTACATGCACCACACATGGGGGTCGCCATCTTGACCTGGAAGCACTCCTATTCTAAGGCTCTTTAGAGGGTTCTGCAAAGGTTGTAGTCGTTTCCTAAGACGAGGTGTGGAACGGAGTGGAGTTCAGTGAGTTAAGCATGTCATGACCCAATCAAGTTTTGTTCAGCTGGCACTGCTAGAGCAGGGTTCTGCAGGGTGCCGCGCCGTGTTTGGCAGGACTCTTGAATTGTTCCATACCTGGCGTGGCCTACTTAGACCGTGGATAATGTTGTATGACATTATTGTTTTTTGCGACGATTGCCTGACTTGTGAGCTTGTCGTTTGGTTTTTTACATATAGCAACCATCGATTCTAAGAGTCCCCGGCGCACGATCAGCAGCGTTTCAGTGCCGCAGCTCACGCTTTCGCACCACTTTCAGAAGCACTCTGCCGACAAATGCAAACCAAGAGCTGTAAACTGCCAATGCAAGACATGCCTTCAACAGCCCCAAGCATCTTCTCACTGTTTCGTAGTCCAGCCCTCTCTGTTTGCATGTTTGGCATGAACACAAACACAACACCGATGATCAAACTGCCAGTGAGAACTTGGGCATGCCTCGGCTACACCCTGAACCAAAAACCCGAAACCCTAATGTCGCCATCACGGACCAAGTCAGAAGTGTGTGAAGTGTCGAGCTGTTCTTCAGCGGAGGTTCCAGGCTTTCACAGCTGCACTGCATTGAAGCCGTCGAACCCCAGATTCAGTTGAACATCAGCGAAGATCTGCAAATGCTGGGCGGTTCTCGGGCAGGAACTCTCAGTAGCTCCGGCACCCAGCTCGCCAAGGCCGTGCTCAGCATCGAGAACCCAATCCTTCAGAGGTTCAGAGCTAGATACAACCTGCCCTACCTGCTCCGAGATCGTTTTTATGTTGATATCCAGTCTTGCTGTTTCGCATGCAGTTGTTCTGTATGAACAGACTGCATTTTAGCCTGCAGCTCTTGTGCTGCAATTACTCGTAAACGCGACATCCTGTAGTCTGTAATCTCGAAAACCAACCGCAGGAAGTCCCAAAACTCCCAAAAAATTGGCTTCACCTCCCCAAGCTTCATGCAGCAACTTAGGGCTTGGGGCGATGGCTTACTTATATCGGCCATGTGCCCTAGACAAGAGCTCAGAGGTGTCCTCAATTTGTGGGTGTTCTGGGATTTGCCATCGTTGATTGTAGACATGCTGCCACGTCGTATAAGGCCGAAGTGACTAATGTATAGAATAAGCTCCCTCGACACTCCTCAAAAACAACCTTACATGTGCAACAATCACCTCCGACTGCGATGCAGACGCTTTCAAGCACATCCTGCACAAATGGTTGTGCCATGTCTATTCATTATCATTACTGTTCGTATGCCTTTCCCGACTGCTTGCGGTACTCGTCATGCTCTTGACTATGTTGTTGTCGTCATTGTTCTCACTAGTTTGCTTCTTAGACGCTTACCGTTCTCCTCGCCTGTCGCACTCTCAGAACAGTAGCAGTATTCGTGTTGGCAAGAGTATTTATTGTCTTCGTACTAGTAACTAGTAGTGACAGTATTGCCATTGCTGTTCCCGCTCCCTATGTCATATTGCTGGCATCGGAAAAGGCAGGTATTTTGCATCGGTCCCAGGTCCCAACAAAGATAGGCTGATGCCCCTGGATGAACCTTGATGCTAATCCAAAAGCTCCTGTCGTCCAGACTCCCTGACCCCAAGTCCCAACACCCCAAATCCCATCCCCCAAGAGCTCAGGCTCCGCTTGTCTGCGTCCTGCACCCTTTAAACCAAAAGAAACTTGAAGCATCTGGGAGACCAGGCCCCCTCGTACCACGCACCCACAGCGGGCCACTCGCACCGGCCCACACCATGCCTGTCGTGCAGAAGGGGGAACTCCCTCCATTCCATGCAGGGTCTCAAGTGGAGGGAAGGCTTGATCTCGAGAACGAGCTTGAAAGAGGTGGCGAGAACGGCAAATCCAGGGTCGGAGTAAACATCGGAAAGCTGTGTCGATAGGTGTGCGATGTAACTTTATAGAGTGCTTGAATCTAGGACGGATGTTAGAGGGCGGGACCTGCACGGAACCGTGATCGTGATGATGATGGTGGCAGGTGGTGGTGGTGACAAGGACCATGGTGATGAGGATGGAGATGACGTCTGATAAGGCTGCCGCCGATGATGATTGATGTGCGCTCTGTCGAACTTGTACACTCGCCATCTTGCCAACGCAGGGTCCACCCGGTATGAGTCTGATCATTCGTCGCACGTGATGCCAAGTGTTTATATTCAGAGCACGGCGCGGTCCTGAGCCCATCCTGGAATTGGCCACTGTAGACCCAGGTCTCATACTCAGCCTCCACTGGGGCTATGGATGACATCACCTGGCTGCCACCGATACAGTCATGCAGCACTAGTGCAGACCGCATCACTAGCAAGAGCAGTCTCACAAGATGACTGCAGCAAACAGCAGAGGCCCGACAGGAACGAAAATTCGCCAGGCGTGGCCCCTTGTCCATGGGGCTGGCCGAAGACCCAGTTGCCATGGTAAGTCCTGGAAGACGTCAGCTTGCGAAGCAGCCACATGCACTAAGCAGCAGCAACAGCAGGCTCACAAAACGGGCTTCTTGTAAGTCTATGTCCATGTCACTCGGCAAGGTGTACTGACCAGTCGCCTTGCATGTGCGCAAGCGGCGTCCTCCCGTCGGGCCAAACCATTTTCCCAACTCCGTGCGGATCGCCGTCTTGCAGCCTCGCGGCATGTAAGGTAGTGTTCTTGACTTCGATTGGAGCTCCCACCAGAAAGCCCCTCGTCGAAAATCATCATAAACGCTCTCGAAGGACTGCATCCAAATCGTAACAAGGGGCGGCATTCTCTCCTGAATCGGCAGTGAACTGGGGTATAAATACTGCTGCTGGTGGTGCTGGTGCTGTCGCAGAAACGACCACGACTACCACTCCCGCTCCGCCAGCGCCTCCTCCTGCGACTGCTGCTGCTGGTGCTACTACTCGTGCTCCTGCTCCTGCTCCTACCCGTACCCCTACCCCTGTGGCTACTGCTGCTGCTGAACCCACTGCTACTGCTGTGATTGCTAGTACTCCTGCATCGCGACTCGTTATTTGGGCTGGAATACTGCTTGCTGCTGTGGCTCAGGCGAGGTACCCGAGCAGCACTCCTACTTCAGCATGCTCGGCAAGTCAGCAGAAAGCCGCAGAGCGCGCGCGCGTGTGTGTGTGTGTGTGTGTGTGTGTGTGTGTGTGTGTGTGTGTGTGTGTGTGCGTCTGCACATCAATAGCCTGATAGCCTTGCCTTCAAGTTTACGAAGCGTTCACGACTTTTCGGAACCTCCGCCCCATCTGGGGCCGTGGCCCTCCGATGTAGCTGGAACCATCGGGAAGTTCAAGCGTCTCCTTGATTGCCGGCTTTCTTTTTGGCAGTAGCAACATGCACCAACCGGGTCCCTGCATCTGCACAGGAAGACTGCTCAGTGTATATCATGCCGGACCGTTAAATTTTCGCTCTTGTATTCCGTGGTGTCGTGCTAGGCTGGACTTTACGGTACGTCCGATTATGCATTATGCCGTACTAAAGTAGACTACATGCATTTGAGTACGGCAGAGTGGTACAGGGCCTCTAATAAAGCACGGGTTGCTGCACCCAGAAGAGGCAGCGATGCTCGTGAGCAAACTTTGATTTCCATGCCCCGTGTTGGCGTACACTTAGCACACTGTGTGGACCGTCAGATTGGGCGGAGGGCTCCATCGGGCTGCGCAACAGAACCTAGCATCTTCCGTTCCCAGCAGCTCATACCATGACGCCATGACCTGTCGGTAGTCTGCTAGCACCGAAGAGCCACGGAAATCCCAGTCCCAGCTCTGGCCTCCACACCAGTCTTGAGTTTGCCCGTGTCGTCGGTGAGAGCCTTGACATGGCTTCCCACACATTTTTGTCACTTTCACGCATGGGCATTGCAGAGAGTCTGCCAGTTCTGTCTGAGCTCGTTGTTGGACAGATTTACTAGCTAGGAACAGGAGGCTCAGGCCTTCATTGAGGGGTGCACTAGATCAGGGCCCCCGGCACATTCAAGGTACGTGTTTCGGATTGCTGCTTGCCCCTCAGATTCTCGTTGAGTCAGCTGGAAGTGGCAGTCACTCTGTGATGTTGATGGTTTCGTGGGACAAGGTGGCAACCGCCTATTCATTCCGACAACGATCTCAGACCGATTCTGCCCGTCTCCCTGGTACAAAAAAGTGTTTGGAGTTGTCCGGAACATGAGTATGCCCAACACATCCCAACACTAACAGCAACAGGAATGACACAACTAAGCCTGGAGATTGGAGTCATAGTTCCAAAGCCAGAGAGCTCCAGTCAAGAGAGCCTCTCTATCACTGACGCATAAGGAGCCGACCGTCTCCCACATCTCCTGCACCAGCTCCTCTTCACTGCGGCTCTTGGCTGCCCTCAGATCAAGGCGGCTGTCGCTAGGCTGGGCTGCTGGGTTCCGGAGGAGAGTGAGGGCCTGTGGTCAGCGCACAACAGCAGAAGCTCGAGATTCGATTTTGCACGTCTCTGGCTTCTGTTGACGTTCAAAGACCCGAAGGAGACCGGAACAACATTGGAAAGGGCTCCTGGATAGAATACACACGATCAATCACGAACATGAATCATCACTACTGAGGGGTCGCTGTCGGCACTTGTTACTGTCGTGGTCGTCGTCGGTTGTGGCAGTGCAGTGGATTTAGCAGAAGCAGCAGCAGCAGCATCGGCGGCACCAGCCACACGACTACAGCGCCAGCCCAGAGTGTGCATTGCAAGCGACACATGAAGACCTTAGCCGCGGGCTTCTCCTTCAGCCGCTGAACCTGCGCTTCTCGCCTGGCAGAGCAGGGCACGCGCAGCTGCCAAACAGTGATCACCCCTTAAGTTATCGACTAGCTGATGGCAGTGGATTGCACATCGAGTGCCGAAAGCCAAACTCGCAACAGCAAATATATCTGGCATGAAAGGTAGGACTGGACGATGCACCGCTGCTCGCCTTTGCTTCTTCTGGCGCAGTTTCCAGACGTAGCCGCACAGGAAGACCACCTAATGCAGCAGATGTTGGAAGATACTTGAGGGTTTTAAGTCGTCAGGCAGTCACGACGAGTGAGGCGAGGGACGCACGCCAGAAAGCTCGAATGTGTTGCAGCCCGAGCACTTTCGCAACTGCCTGGCACCATCCCTTATGGCCGGGGTGGCATCGTAGACCTTGAAGCCACAAACCCTAAACTCGAGGTCCAGGCCAGCAGTAGCAGGATACAGAAGACGCCAATCTGCAAAATCAGTCACCGACGTAGATTCTCTCACTGTCGGGGTTTAGAGTGTAGGACCCCTACGAGGGACTTGCTTAAGCAGACCCTTGTATGGAGCAAACTTATCCTGGAGGTCTTCTTCAATCATAACTTCAATCTCAGCACGACACTTATCCAAACCGTGATGTGTCGGAGACGGTGGTATCCGAATCGGAATGGTCACGGTTTCAAAAATTTGCCTACAGCTTCCCCAGTTGGACGGGGAAATTGAATCCTTTCATAGGAAAGGCTTAATCAACCCCTAAGGCAGGCCCATCTCCATTCATTTTTTGATCACAAAGCATGCTGTGCTCCCTCTCATCAGTCCAAACCGTGCCATTTAGATCTGTTGCGCACTTGAGAGAAGCAACAGAAGCTGTAGCAGCGAACAACCCAAACAGCCAGGAAGATTAGGACGAAACGAATCAACCACCCCGCACAACTCGGCGAAACCTTCCCGTAACGCCCGAGGAGATAGCAACATGAGGGTTACATGTCAAACTTGTGTCGGGTACGAGCGCGAGCTCCAAAAGCCGCTCCGCCCTGTTTACACAATACATGCATATACCTCTGTATGTGTATGTTTAGATGTTTACAGCATATATAACATAATACAATATGGTATCGTGCAATATAATGTGCTATACAGCAGTATATACAAACAGTATCTGTAGATGGCTAGATAGATAGACAGATTGGAATGTAATATGCATTTTGTTATACTATAGTATATTGCTCTTTGCTATAATATAAAACCACCATAGTTTCTGATATTAAGACTAAATATATTATATACACACATACATACATACATATATATCTATATATGCTCACCCCCCCCGTTGACAGACCATGCCCTTGTGATAGTGTACTCTCGTTCGGTGACTAGGCTGAGATATTGTATCTAAACACACCACACATGACGACAATCTGTAAAGCAAATCCTTTACAGTACATATACCAAGTATACTTTTAACATGCCATGTACTGAGGACGCATGGACCAGACGCGCGACATGTGAGTTATGAGTCTTGTGGTAACATTGATATAGGATGAGTATGAGTATTAATATTAGTATTAGTATTCGTATCAGCAATAGTAGTAGTGTTTACTGTAAGTATATATATATATATATGTATATACCGACAGTAGTAAGTATACATTAATGTTAGTGCTCATGGTCGTTTTAGTCTTAGTGTTAGTGACAGTTGCAATGCCAGTAATAGTACCACTGCTAGTATTAGTATCAGTCTTCATGCTGGGTTTAATATCAGTTAATAATGGCAGAGGTGCTAGTATTGGTATCAAAACTAGAGTTAGTTTCGATATGTTACTATTCTGATAGTTTCGTATATCAGCACGTTAGTATATCAATACATTGATGTGTTCGAGAGGCAACATATTTGTGTACTTGCATGTTCGTAGATTTAATACTTTAGTACAACTGATGCATGAGTAAACTAGTATATTGCTGTATTAATATATTAGTATATTAACATACCAGTTTATTCGTACATTAGTATATCAGTATACAAGTATATGCGATATACGTGTATTGTCTAAAGATTTATAAGTATATCAGTATGTTGTCATATTGGTACACTAACCTGCCATGTCGGTATACTTGCATATTACAGTAGTCGTATACTAGTATAGTAGCATACTAGAATAATAGCATTGCATACTAGTATAGTATATTCACACATTAACAAGTAGTGTATTGTTACATTGGTATATGGGTATATGCTTGTCCTAAAACATCAGTACATGAATGCATTGATACATATCGGCATTTTAAGACAATGGTATGTGTTCTGGTGTTCATTAGCATATGCACGTGTCTTTTGTAATGGTATTCGTCTTCACACCAATATGAATATGACTATTGGTATTCGTAGGAGTATTAATGTTAATATTCGTATTAGGATTATCCATAGTCGCATTAGCCTTAGTATAAGTGTTAATAATGGTATTACTACTGGCAATATCTTGAATATTCAACAAGTTATCAATGTCAGTACTAGTATTGGTGACAGCATTACTGTTAACAGCATAAGAGTATGCGCAGTAGTATCCGTAGGAGTATCAATACTTATGTAAATCTTGGTGTTGGTATGAACAGTGTGATTGGTGTTAGTAATAGTGCTAGTGCTAGTGCTCGTATTAAAATGAGGTTATGTATTCGCATGAACGTTTGTCTTATATTCGTATTACTCCTGATTACATGAAAATATTAACAGATAAATACATGCATGAGCTAATGTATTTGTACTTTAATATAGTGGTATGTATATTTATGTACATTGGTATATGCAGGTGTGTATTAGTATTGGTATTAAAATACACTACTACCAATATGGGCATACTTATTGATATGCGTAGGAGTATGAACATCAGTATTAATCATTATTAGTATTTGTATGGTGCCTATTCGTATTGGCTTAAAAAGTGTAAATATTAGTGTTAATGCTGGTATTAGCTTGGGCAGTCAGATGCAGTCAGCAAATGATCAATGTCAGTATTAGTATTGGTAATAGTATTCGTAGGAGTACCAATTAAAAAACAATGTATATATATATATATAAACACTGACAATCGTCTAAACAGACCTTGCCTTTGCAAGTGGGTCGTAGTGCATGGTCTGTCATCCGATGGGTCACAATCAGCCCATTGAACATCAATTCCAGAAGTTCCCAAAATTTCAGAAAATTTCAGAAATTTCCGAAACTTCCAAAACGGCCCGACCTAGTAGACAGGATTTTTCCAAAACATAAGGGCGGACTTTTTGGAAATTTTGGAAATTTCGAAAATTTTGGAAATTTCGGAAATTTTGGAAATCCGGAAAGCCAGGGGAGAGAATTTTGGAAATTTTGGAGTTGAGTTTTTGAAAGCTGAGTGCCCCCTCCCACCGATCACAGACCATGCGCTACGACTGAGTTGAAAGAGCATGGTCTGTCAACGGGGCGGGGTGACCATATATATATATATATATGTATATTCATATACACTTTCCACATACAATACGACATAAGACATAACATATATATCTATATATATATATATATACACATACATATACATAATACATATATATATATATATTTCATTATGTATAATTTCGTATCATATACCATATTTTAGCATTGTAATTTGCTCCCCAGAGCGACTGAGGCGAGTACTGCCCAGCCGGGCAGCCCCTCCTGTTGAAGGATTGGGATGATTGGGGTCTTGAGGGATGCAGGGACTTTGCGCGTGTAGGATGGAACCTGCTAAGGTTTGGAGTTTCAGGGTTCAGGATGACAAAGTTTCCTCACGCTTCCGATCCTAAACCCCTGACCACTCCAAACGCAAGCCCTCAACCCCCTGAGTTGGAGTTGAAGAAACACACCCCAGACCGTCCCAGACCCCTCACATTCCTCCACGTCAATGATGATCTGTATCCTCTCTTCGGTGGTGGTGGTCGTCGTCTGGGTGGTCGGCGGCAGAGGCCTTGGAGGCTTCAGATCAGGAAAAGGGTTGACGGATTTGCTTCCAGATTGTCGTGAACCTTAGTCGCAAGGGGCTTCCTGCGCAATGTTGTAGGATTTTGGGTCGAGGCTTGGCTGTTAGAGTACAGGTAATTCGAGTTTGGATGTTGCAGCTTACAGATGTCAAACCCTTCCTGGTAGAGTTATGGATTTCAGGGCCTTACTTAACTGAAGCTCCATGCCCACTCGAGGACACTTGAAGTATGTCCATGCGCACACACTTGAATACGAACACTTGAAGGACGCGGCCCTGTTGGATGAAGCGTGGCCTGTTGTGCAGCCTACGGCAACACACGACCCTCACGAATTTCAAGCTCCCTGGTTTCGAACCTTGACGACCATGTGAGCCAACTGTACCACTTTGCTACCCGGCAAAGGTGGCACCCGGTCCAGTTGTCATTATGCTGGAATAAACAGGCTTGGCCACACAAACTGGATATGACAGACTCGCCCATGGACAGGTATGGGTGTGATCAAGCCCAAGTCTTTTCACCAAGAGTTTTGGCATGTCATGGTTGAAGCACCAACCCACAAACAGAATTTCATGAGGAAACTTGTGCTGCCGAGCTCATGGCGGAAGGAATAGTGTTGTTCCTGGCAGCAAGTGCAGATTCAGATGCCGGGCAGGTTGCCATCCAGAGAACAGTTTGACAAATTCCCCAGACCGCACCTCAATCCAGTAACGGACTCTGCTTCGCAGCAAGCTGCTGACATACGCAGTCTCAACACCGGTTTAATGCGTTCCAGCATACGTGGCCCAACCTGAAGCCTTTACTTAAGTCTCCCACCTAAGCAGCAGTATGAGCACTTGTCAAAAACGTCCGCAATATTACGTTCGCGATCTGTTGTTATTCTGAATAGCAGCATGAATACGTGCAAGGCTCCGATTTATGTTAACGGTAGTCTCAACTACAAGTTATGACCAGCAGGTTCGCTGCATCATCAGCATAATGCATTCAGGAACTTTGATACGATTAGATTACGGTGCTGATGACAGCAACCCTTTGCGACGATGGTGAGATGACGATGGTTTGAAGAAGGGTAAGAAACACATCCAACTTCCAGCAGTAGTAGCAGCGGCAGGGAAGGCAGTGGCGGTAGTAGAAGTAGCAGTAGCAGCACAGTCATGATGGGCATCCTTCTCCCAACGACCTTCATCACCATCATCGTCATAAAATCCCCAGCCCCTGCTCCTGATTTATCCTGAAGATCCAAAGCCCCTGACCCAGGTCCGGAGTCTTGAAAGGCAACCAATGCAACAGAACAACGTCGGCAAAGCCTCCAGAATCCAACACTACCCACGCACAAAAACTGCGGCCAGTGCACGGACTGGCGGCCCAATGAAGACCATCTCGGGGGCTGTGCAGCGCATGGGCCTCGGTGCGAAGAGGGACTCGGCTCGGCCCTCATGCCTTCCTGTTGGTAATAAAAAAAATATATATATATATGTATATGTATATGCGTAGATCATTTTTTCAATGTCTTATTTATAGAGTTTTCCCCGCCTTCTTTGTCTTTCGCCTTGCGGGCTTAAGGCTTCAGGGACTGCAGAGGTCAGATGCGTCGCATTCCTCCAATTTGCCCTACAGGGGCCACTGCCGGAGGCTCGGCAAGACGGTGAAGCAAAGCTCCTCCAACTTCTCCTCAAGAGCCTGACAGTCTGCATTCGGGGAGCTTGAAGCCACACTGTTCAGCATCTCGCGGACATAACAGGCGGTGCTCATGAAAGTGAAACTGATGGAAGTGATAGCCGATAGCCCCGAGACCCACCGAGGCAGCAAGCAACAAGTGTACCAACAACGAAACAGCAAAGCAGACCTGCACCCAACTGATCCGCGGGGGGGTAACGACGCTAGCCGTAGCGAGTATCCGAATCGCACCTTCAGGATGGTGGTCTCCGTAGCGACGTCACTGTCGGCGAAGAACTGGATCATGCTTTCTGCCTCAAGGCTCTGCGTCCCGTCCAATCCAAGTAGGGTGCAAAACTAGCGATGAAGGAACCCGTGACGGGGGTCTGCTTTGATAACACTCCAGAGCAGGGACCTCCTGTGGTACTCTGGACTGCGCAACTCAAACATTTAGACTTTCGGAACTTGGGCGGAAAAACGATGATTCAGGGATATCAGGGCTTCCAAATCCATCACAGCTTGCAGCCATTCGGAACTAAATTGAACGAATGACTCGACCATGTGCTGTCCTAACAGGCACCCCCTCTGGGTCATCGGCCAAACCAAAGGCATACTCGTCTTCAGTCTCCTGGGGATTTGCTGCGGCTGCGAAAAAGGCCCACAGGCCCAGCTGAGTGGAGCAGCAAGCCTTGAGGATGCCACCAGCTGGAAAAAACATCCGGCCAGGTGAATCAGGCACACTTAGGGTGGCAAGTGACTTGGTGTGCCTGCCTTTGGGTTCAAGCACGCGGGCCTCCTATGCAAGACAATGAAAAGAAGGACACGACAGGCCTCCCCTTCGTCGCTAACTAGGCTGCGCTGCCCGGATGTGCTAGACAGAGCCAATCCGGGGCCCATGAGCACGCACCATCTACGTCTCATGACGGGTGCGGCTCTGGACTCCCCCAGCGAACGCGCTAGCCCATCTGCTCCGCTGTCATATGCCGATCCCGCAGCATGTTGGCCCCAAGGGAGTTTCAGCGCAGCTCTGCCCCACACCCGGCCGACGGTGTGAAGGAGGTTACCCGAGGGGATGCAACCTCCTTTGGGTAAGGCGACTCGCACAAGACATGGCCTCACCATGCCTCACCACATGTTCATGTCATGCTAATGCCCAGCAAAGTTCATGAACGCATGTAAGGACTGCAGTAATGCCAAAAAACCGAACGTCGAACACATGCCATGCTCAAGGAAGTTCCTGCAAGCATCAGAACAAGACAAAGATACTCTTCAGCGTGGAGCTTTTCCCTGCGTTGACAACACCTAAACCTGTCTCAACAACGCCATGCTCCAGGATGAGGAGACCGTACAGAGTCGGAATCAAGTGCGCAACGAATCACCACAGAGAAAGCTGCGGCGACGGCCAAACAGCAAGTTCTACGCATCACTGTGATAGTGACGTTTGTGGTTCTGAGGTGCTACGGATGATGGAACTGATGGTTGTGAAGACGAGAAAGATAATTATCATAGTGACCATCAGTGTCGTCGAGTTGAATGCAACAGCAACTACAGTCCTCGCTCTTATTCGTTATTTACGCCAGAGCCATTCTCGATTGCTGCCGCTATTCTTCCTTCCGGTTTCTGTCGACACCACTTGTTTCCACGTGGAAAGCCAGTCTGAATACGCTTCTTCTCATGTCATAGCTCTCCTTTATCGACGGATTTTGGCACGACGACGCCGACGACGTTACTTACCATTTCTACTGCAACTGCCACCATTGCCTTTGCTGCAGCTTCTGCCATCATGACTCATCTGCAGGTAGTGCTAAAGCTAACTGTCATCTCGTTCTTGCGCGTTTTAACTCCTCTTCCTGGTATGCTCTTGTTGCCCTGACATGCCCCGCATGATTGAATAGGAAATTTTACATGCTGACAACTTCTCCGAGCAAGGTAGCTTCACACTCCGAGGCTTTCGCCAAGATGAAGGGCACTTCCACGGCAACCTCGGAAGCTCCGATCTTGGGTAGACGTCTCTCTCTCTCTCTCTGTGTGCAGGATTACAAGCTCGGATGCCTTTTGATCTCTCTGCCGTGGTGCCACTGAGCCGATCTCAGCTACCCCTCGGAGGCGTCCCTGGCATGCACAAGGCTGCGTACTGCACTCTCCGAATCTCCGTGATGGTTGGGGAAACTGCTCCGGCATTTGCTGGTTTGCAGGTATTCGGCCGCCATGAGCTGATAAGTTGATTAAGCACAACAGCTTCTGCTACTGCTACTGTGAGCTTGAAGCTTGCCTCTCCCAAGCCGAACCGCTGCAGTCTCCACACTGCGCCGTCGAGGGGCGGTGCTGCGGTCCACCATCGAGAAAGCTGCAGGTTTGGGATATCGGGCCCTGCCGTGCACTTCTGGGCGTGGGGCTTCGGCTTTGGATAATTTGGTTAGAGTGCAGAGCAGTAGAACCACACATCTTGGAAATCTGCTGCTTGAGTGCTAAATGCCAAGTTGCTGCCGGTGAATACGATGGCTATGCCTAGGACGACGACTTCTACAGTGCCAGTCTTGCCATTACTTGTTAGCCGAAACTCTGGCAACTGCTCCCGCAGGAACTGGCCTGCCGAAGCACAGGACTCGGCTGGCCTCTTCTGGGAGGCAGGTCGACTGAGTATTCTCCCCCGAGACTTCAGAAATCTGGCCGTGGTGGAGTGTTTTTTGAGCGAGCCTCATAAGCGACTCAAAGCTGTGAGGGTTTTGCGGCGGTGGTCTTGTCTCATATGGTTGCTTTTCTAAGGGCATTTGCTTCTTGGGGGCTCCACCCAGGCCATTGGCTCGCAGCCTTTGGGCCCTCAGGGCCACCTCGATGTGAGATCACACATTCAAACCTCCTGCCCTCTTCCACACGCACAGGCTTTCGGATCACTGTTCAGCGGCGAGAGCCAAGCGCCAAGGGCAAATTAAGATGGAGCCGAGCGTCGGATGTCATTTCCATGCTGGTATGACGCCCGTGGGAAGCACCCAAGTGCAGTGCACTTCCCAGTGGATTGAAAAGAGAAACGGGGCCCACGGGGCCAGCCAGGCTAAAGGCCCCGGACCAGCGACCCATAAAGGATTGTCGCTACTTGCGCCTGTCAACAGACGTGCACTCCGAAAGGCAGTGGTAGTTATCACCTTGCCAAGAAGGATGTCATGGAGGAATGACCTCCTTGTGAGTGGCATCAGCGGCTGCTACCTAAGCCTAAAGTTGATTACAAATCAAAGCATATCTGCCTCGTGAAGCTGAAAGCTTGTGCTCACGGGTAGCACTCGCAAGTGGCCCTTCCGACATGTTTCTTTCTGAAGCACAAGCGTTTATGCAGCGTCGCACAGCGGAAGAGATCTGGACAAAAAGTTACCATTCAATAAGTTCACCTAGGCACCAAGCATCCGAGTTAGACGCTCCTTGCCGGCGGCTGCACTTAAGTTTCGTGGAAGAGAAGAAGCGAGATGCTTGTAGAAGCGACTTGCCGGCGCTCCTCAGCTTGTTAAGGAGAGCAGTGTAAACATGATGAGCTCCTGGTAGCGGCTCGAAAATCATAGCAGCACCGACGCGCCTCAACGCGCACATTCAAACAGAAGTCGGGTTGACGGACCATCAACTCCGACATGCTAGCAACAAGTGCTTTGATGAATCACGTCCCCTGGACGGGAGACTACCAAAATCCCTGAGTCTAAGAGACCTCAGGCGGCGATCCCATGAGGTACCGCCAAAGCCTGCTTTCCAAGTGCTGTGGCGAGAAATGGCACAGCAAGCCTCAGGTTATCTGGCATCTTGGACTATGCACGGGATTCTTGTCACCCCGGAACTCAGAACCTAGCTGGACCTAGCTATCACTATCCGCTATTACTGATCAGTCTACCACTACTCCACTACTCTGGTGACTGGTGACCGAGCATGTTCCAGGGTTTTCAGAATCTCGCAGCTATACACAGAACTGAGACAAAACTTCGAAGCCGCACGCCGGAGGAGCATGTGGCAAGGCTCTTGGAGGGGAGTCTGCAAGCAGCGTGGGCAGAGATGAAGAGCACGACGGCAGCGAAGGCCTCTGAGACGGGACCTGACACAAAGGAGCTTTTTGGGTCTTCTCCAGAGGGCTTGCTATCTTTGTCAGTAAGGCCACCTTAAACATTATCGACAGCATTGCTTGCAAAGGATACATCAGCTGTCAGGGCTCCGTCACTGCAAAGAGCCGCCTCTGCCACTGTTTGGGCATACCGGTGCAGAACTATTGCCACTGCTACAGCTTTGACACATTACAACACGTTGCATCATCATTGGCCATGTTGTGATAGTCATGATGCTACTTTGCAACAGGGCGAGCCTCTCCCGTCGTGCTGATCGTACGTTGACACACATCTGTAACACGTTCTCTTGATTCATGCTATGCTTTCCTGAGTTGCGCTGTCTTCGCATGGTTTCCAGGCGTCTGCGCGTTCATGTTGCTCGGTCGATGATGCTTCGAGCGTCTTGCGTTTTGCTAGAGATTCATGCTTGCAAGGTCTTGCGTGTCTGCTCCATTGTGAGCCGTCTGCTCTCGTTCCGCTGCTCCATTGTTGATGTCTGCAATTGACTGATGTGACTGATCCCATGCCACTGAATTCTGTATCTGGAAAGACGAGTATTTGCAGAGAGCTGGAAGAGTTTCATGTCGTCCCAGATCAGAGCCTGGCCTCGGAACCTCTCGTCCGCTCATAACCTGGGGCACAGCTGGGAGTCGTTTAACCATTGGAAGATCCGTGAACGAGAATATAGGCATCCGGCAGTTGAATCGGAGTTGCAGAATGCTGCGGGCCAAGAGAGAGATAGAGAAAGTGAGAGAGAGAGAGAGAGCGAGAGAGAGAATTTCTTGTTCCAAGGCTTTTGGGCTACTGTTGCCTGCCGCCCAAAAACCAGCATCCATTTGGGGGCGCCCGCTGTCTCCATCGGCATCTGGCGACACGTTCTGGGCCTAGCAGCAGCAGACAGTTGCAGCTGGTTTGAGTACACATTCTCGGCGTGCTGAGGGAAACTCAGGATACCTGAAGCAGGTCTCTGACTCGACAGAAAATCTCGTGCTGGCTGCCCACAGACGGATCCAACCCCTCCCCGCTCTCTTCAGCTGCATACGACAATGGACACTGAAGGACGTGACGGCAACTTGCGCCTGGGACCTTTGCAGGAGCTCCGCTGTGACATAGAGATTCACAGCCAGCATCCTGACAACTACTGGCAGCGGATGTGTCGACGTGGTCTGTCAAGCAAATCTTCGAGGATGGTTGAACTCGCGTGCTGTTTAGTAGTCATTATATGTTTCCATGGCCAGTTATGACCATGTTGCGGCATTTGCTGTCTTTCTGCGTCTTATTCCCGGACGGCGGCGCGATTTCACCTGTCAGACCTCATCCCTTACAAGTCTTTCGTTAGGTCTTTCTTTCCTGATTTTCTCAAACCCGCCTGTCGACGCAAGAGTAAGCCATCATGCGACCAAAAGCTTCCACATCCTGTTCTTGCCCCGACGAAATACTTGTATCACTGCGCGCTGGAGCATATTGTGTTCTTCTAGTAACATAACTGTTCATGCTGGATACTCGAACTCGAACTAATGCCATATTTTGCGAGTTGTGACCATCCTGGTGTCATGCTTGCTGTTGCTCGGCTACAGCGACAGATGATGTTGCTCGTGCTTCTATTGATAATCCGTTTTGTGTGCCATTTGGTGTCTGTAGGGGTTGCTTGTTTGTGTGCTGTGCCCAGTTTATGATTTGGACATCCGTCGTACCGCCAATGTACCGTCGATCGCAGGCAAGGCACAGCGGCACAGGAGTGCCAGCAACAAAGATTCGAGGAGCACCTCGACCAAATAGTGACGGTTCCGAGTATTATGGATTACTGCAGTGACGCGAAGCCTGTACCGGAGTAGCATGACCAGCTACTGAGGCTCATCGTGCTTGCGTCATATAAACAGCCGGTGCCCTTAAGACTCCTTACTTAACCTTCTCTTCAGGACCAGGAGAACTTGGCCTGGCTCTTCTCGTAAGAGTCTACCAGGGTCAGCAAAATTTCATCATGGAAGTGGGGCATGATGAATTTCAGGGGTCCCACCTGGGTCCTGGATGGCATCGTATCCAGATTTCGCGCAGAAGAGAGCCAAATTTGGTCCCAAACCTTTCCAGGGCTTTTGTTTGCTGCTTTGGAGAGCCTCTGCAAACCGAGTAGCGCAAAGGTACGCGGATCTCAATGCAGATGTGACCCTAATGGGCCTTGGAAGACAGCCGGCTTCACGTAGCGGAGGCCACTGGATTCCGAACTCACCATCCGGCTGAGAATGCAGTGAGCTACCGCGCACTGCTCCTGACTGACGAAGTTGATTATGGCCAACTTCGGCCAGGGCAAATACACGAAGTCGAAGGCCCGCGTGCCCTGACAGAGGCAACAAAAAGAGGCAAAGCCATCTCGCCTACTATGTTGGCAGGGTTATCTGACTCTGCGTGTGAGTACACATATGCAGGTATGTCTGCAGGTATGTATGTGCGAACGTGTTTGTGTACCTATGCAGATACGTACGCATGTAAGAATGCATGTATGTATGTATGCTTGCATGTATGCCATGCATGTGTGCAGGGTGCATACATGCAACTGTATAGGTGGTATGTCTGTACGCATCTGCAGAGAAATGAGGCCTGTGCACATCGATGTGTACAAGTGTACAACTGTTACTTACATACAGACATCCAGACAGACCGACAGACAAACATACATACATACATACATCGATACATATATACATACATACACACGCAAATACACGCATACATAGATGCACACATGCACAAATAAATACACACCGTGTCCAGGCATGCTTAACTTTGGATTTTGGAACAACACGTTCTTTGTGTGCTCTCGAGCTTTGCGCGTGACCGGAAACCCTCACGGAGGCCCCCTGAGCGCAAGAAGCGGTGTGTGGGAAACCAGCTGCGCCACCCGGCATTGTGAAACAAATGAAACCATGAAGCAAAAACACACCAAACCAACACCACGAAACAACAAACACAACCAACATTTGGAAACTCTTGGAAACCTGGCCACCTCGAAGCAAGACTTTCCAAATATGTTGTGTGTGGATATGCTTTTTTGTTTTGGTTTTATTCCATGTTGTCGCTTTCTTGGGTTTCGACCTTTTGGTTCACTTGGTTCTGGTTTTGGTGAAGAAAACTCTCATTATTTTGGTGTTGGTTTGTGTTTGCGGGTCGCCCGTCGATAAAGATAATGCATGAAGCCCTTCATGATGAGAACCGTACCTGGCAGTCGGCAAAGGCTAAAACACCTCGTTCTCGATCTCGCCTAAAGCCTCCTACTACTACAACTGCTGCTACATGCTGCTACATGCTGCTACTGCTACTGCTACTGCTACTGCTGCTGCTGCTACTGCTACTACTACTACTACTACTACTACTACTACTACTACTACTGCTACTGCTACTGCTACTGCTACTACGACTCCTCCTACTGCTGCATATACGATCTATTTCTGCTCTTTCTCTTGCGCTGTATATACGCATGTACCCTCCATGTTTCCTCGCTCTCTCGCTCCCTCTCCATATACAGATATGCTCAACATGTTGTCTGTGTGTCTGTGCCTCGGGGTCTCTCAAACATGCAACTTGAACACATACACAAATTGGTAGCCCAGCCCAGATCCGAACATGTGCACCCTCGGTCCCAACCAAGCTGCCCCGCAGAACTTGTCCAGCATGAAGAGGATGCCGTCGTAGTTAATCTTAGCATTGCTCCTGCCCGAATGCACTCAGCATGTTTACGTGGGAAGCTTGCATTCTGTGGAAGATGCTTGGCTTCAGCCAATCATTGCATGCTTATCAGCGAGTGACAGTGTGGCCTGATGACAAGCGTGGTCGTACCGCGGTCCAGTGCCGACATGCCCACAACTTGACAGGCTGCAGAGTCTGCTGTTGTTTCCCCTGGTAAGCCAAAGCGTCTGCAGCACAAACGGGCTCCGCCGCGAAACAGTACGGCAAGCCAGCTATGTCTCTGTGCAGCTGCTACAATAGCAAGGCATAAGAGTGACAACAGTAACATGATAACACAATGATACAGGCCATAAACAACACAAGCAATATACGACATACCAACATAAGCAAAAACATCGATGCTACAGTAACAGCACTGCTGATATTCAGATGCTCAGGTTCCTGCCGGCACATCCAGTTCACGAACAACGCTTGCTCAGACCAGGATCCCAACCCTCTCTTCCAAAGAGGCTCCGGAGTCGAAAACCCTGCAGTCCAAACCATCCGTGGGCTCCCGAAAACTAGGACCTAAACCCAAAAAACCGGACGCACAAAGTGGCCCAGGCCATATTGCCCTGCAGGAATCGGGAGATCGATGATCCATTGCCTCAGAGCCGAGCTCTGGGGCCATGGTAATTTTTTCATGGTCAAAGACTAAGAGCTACAAGAAGAATGGCAATGGCAACGAGAGCTATCCGAAAACTTGCGCTTGACTCAAGGCCCAATTCAATGGAGGGCTTGGTTTTGAGCGACGTCTCTTACAGGCAGATTCGTCACAGCAGTATGACCAGGCTGAACTGACAACAAGCAGTTCTGTGGATAATATGCATTGTACCTGTCATGAACAAACAAGCAAATAAGCTTCATCCATCATCTCCGTCTTAAATGTCTATCTGTCCATCGATCTGCGTACCTTTCTTTGCATCTACGTATAGAGTTTCCTATTTATGTGCGGCGGATGTACCTGTCTATCTGTCTATCTATCTTTCTATCTGGCTGTCAATGTCGACCTATCAACCAACCCACCCAGTTAGCCTACCTACCTGTCTCTCCGTCTCCGGCTCCCTCAACGTATATGTATATGTATGTATATATGCACATATATATATATATATACACATATATTTGAATAAAAAAAATGTGCATATGAATGTGAGTAAATATGCAAAGGCCGCCTGTTTTGCAACTCTTAAACTGCATGGTAACACTATGGGCGTCTTGTGTTCAGAGTAAAGGGATGCGGGCTGATGCATTTCGGGCCGATGGAGTGGTTTTGGGAGCCTCGGGGCTGCTCCTGAAACGGTGCTTGGCTTTGCAGGGACTAGACTTTTAGGTGCTCTTTCGCTGTTTGGGGTCTACTAGCCCTGATCTGGCATAACATGGCATAACCGTTGTATTCTCTGGATGACTCAAGGGAGCCCTAATACAATATCTCTAGAAACAAAGAAGCGCATTGACCAGCCGTGTCTACCCATGAACCTCGAAGTCCCCCACAAGTCCACGTGATTGGAAGCAGGCTCCAATACCCCAAAGCATAAACACGCTAGCCTTTGATACAAAAATCCATGTCTCGAACCTAAAACCTGATTCCCCAACTCCTGCACACTTCCTTTCAGGGGTCCGACCTCCTGAGTCCATTTCTGCAAGTCGGCGAGGGGCTTGTGCTGGCCAGTCCTGAGAACTAACATGAGCACAGGCTGCTGCTGCTGAAACTAAAACACTTTTCGCAGTGCTGATGGTCCCGATGACCTGGTGTCCAGTGCAGTGAGTGGTGGTAGCAGTGGCAGCAGCAGCACTAGTAGCGGCAGGAGGGGGGACGAGCAGAAACAGCAGAAGCTGCCAGCATGTGACAGGTAGATTCAGTTCTTGGTGTCTGTGCCTGGAAGTGCTGACAAGGCTCCCCCTCCTTTCGGAATGCCGGGAATGGTGGCCATTGTTACATATTGTCTCCTGTTAGTCTTGTTGTTGCAGTCGGACCCTGAAGTAAGTCCAAGAACCCGACATGATATGTCAACACGGGAACCCGCCAACAGAAACAGACCTGCTAATTACAGGCTCAAAACTGGGCAGTAAATAATGTAGCAACGTAGACCTTTGTACACTCATTCGCAGACATTGGAGAATGAACTTCAGGTACAGACTGCTATCCTGATTCCCCTGCAAACCTTAGCAGCGGCTTTCCCTATGGCACCCGCCTTTCATTGACTTTGACACTTTCCTTCCTTTCCCCTGCTGTACTGCGTTTGCTCCACTTGTTTCCAGCAGTACGAGCAATGCCTTTCTGTACAATCGAAACACCAATGCTTTCCTGCACACCTGTGGTGAGTATCCGGATGAGGCTTCCACCAGTGTCAGTAATGATGTAACTCTGGGAGCACCCGTGTCACTGCTGACAGGACCCTGTAGGGCACGAGCTACCTCGCGCCAAGCACGCAATGTCACCTGCACAGAAGTTCGTCGAAAACAACACTTAGGGCCGGTGCTCGGACTGCTCTTCGCAGAAGTATACCCAAGTTTCACGCAGAGTCTCAATCCTATGCAGATGAAACAAGAGCTCATGGGCAAGGAAGATCGACGGCCGGCCTGCTCCGGCAGAACCTGAAGCCATGCAGCCAGAGCCATATGCCAAAACCATCAGCCAGCGCGAAGCTTAAACTTTGCAGCTAGTCTTAAAGGCCTGTCCAACCGAAGGATGCATCCCTGCTTGGGACTCGTGGATGGAGTTTACACAGTCCCGCGGACCAACTTGGACCGATCGTGCGTTCCTTGGTCTGTTGGTCCCTGACTGTGCCGTCTTCGGGCCCACCCTCCCCAGCTTGTGTTGCTGTTTGCCGTCATCGTAGTCGTACTAGATAACAGCCCATAGGGACTCGGCTCAAAACAGAATGTGCGCACCTGGTAGCCAGGAATAGGCACCAGAGCCGCCGCCAAGACCTGCTGCCTGAGCAGGGCACGTGCGGCAGAACCAGGATCCCGAGTTCCCTCATCTACTCTGATGCAGACCTGGGGACCTGCTGCAATGCACTTTCACAGACGGGTGTGTGCATGGTCATAACATGTGCCTGTCTGGCAAACCCAAAATGAAGGCCGAGGACAGCACAGTGATGGTGAGATCGAGCCATACCACCAAGTGAGGTTGGCAACGGCAACCAGGTCGATGCCTCCGGCAGTGAACAGAACTCTGTGTCTTCCTGGAGAAGGATGCCAGCTTGCAGCACATCCATGTCGTTGGAAGCATGACTTCCACGGGCAGGAGACAACTCTGTGCCTGCGAGCGTCACGTAGGAGAAGAGGGCCTCCTTGACCTGGTCAGAGGAACAGTTGCAGTGCCAAGGCTTCGGTGGACAAGGTCTACAAGCATGGGCTTTCTGAGAGTACGGCATGCGCGGCATCGCCCAAGGGAAGGCAGATGGGTTGTTGCACATACCTGGCTTGCGCCCAGCAAGAGCACGATTTTGCAGTTCTTGACTTTGCCATTTGTGCTTTGGAGTTGCAAAGGGAGACCCCGGAAGCTTCCGTACTCCGTTGCACACCAGCACTGCCCTGTCGGCCAGGAAGAACGTGCCGGCGAGATTGAAAGTGCCACGGTTGAATGAGCGACGGTAGGTTCACGAAAGCAACACTGGCACCACCCAGTCTCAAATCTAGCAGGCATAACTACCAGGAAACCTTCCCTTGAGCCACCCATCATTCGGCAAAAGCGATGGGCGCCTGGAGGCAACACACTTGTACTCGCCAGACCGCGCATAGCCGTCGTCGCAGATGGCACGGCAGGTGCGATCTAGGCGAGGCTTTGGGGATCTTGCGTTTAAAGACATGTAAGTACGCCTGCGACTTCCGCTGGCTTCTGCGATCCCAAGCACTTCGGGTCTCAGTCGCTGTGTTTCTGGATCGAGGGCGGTCTTGCTTCAGAACAGGATTCATGCCGCTTCTTTATCAGGGTTCAGGGATGTAGGTCGAGGATGTCAAGCATCTCTGACAGGTCTCCACTACCACCATCTCCGCTTTGCCCCAAATTCCGTAATCTTCGCGTGTGTTTAAGCCGAGGCCCAGGTCTGAAGCCTACACCTCAGAATTCAAAGCTCAGGGCATCCTGCGGCCCTGAAACCTCGAACCTCGGCTTCCCACAGCTCGGAGACTGAAATCTGATATGGCAAACCCCAAATCCCCTGGGGCAAGTGCCGTTTTGAAGGAAGGAGCAGACCCCTACCTGGCAGATTTCCGGTGCTATTTGCTATGACAAGTCTCCTTGTCTTCCATAGCCGTGTAAAATACCCATTGCAGGAGTGACCATTGTAGCTAACATGCTCGGACCTCTTTCAAGCCAACGTCGTGGTCTAAGTGGTATTTGGCAAGGTAGCTCTCTTGGATGCTCGTCCGGTCAGTAGAGCTGCGGAGAGTAGCCTTGAGCTGTTGTGGGAGAACTGAAGTAGCCGCAGCTAGTCGATTCGTAGTCGCCGTGGTCGCCATGGCAGCGTTAGTAGTCGTCGAAGTCGTGGTGGTAACCCTCGTTGCCGCAGTGGTGGCGGTAACAGTCGTGGTAGCAGTGGCGTGGTAGTAGTGGCGACAGTCGCAGTTCTAGCGATGTTGGTAGTAGGAGTAGTAGTAGTAGTAGTAGTAGTAGTAGTAGTAGTAGCAGCAGTGCTTAGCAGTGGTGGTAGAAGCACTAGCAAGAGCAGTAGCCGCAGTAGCATCAGCAGCAGTAGTAGTAGTACTAGTAGTAGTAGAAGTAGTAGCACTAGCAGTTGCAGTAGCAATAACAGTAGCATATAAAGCTCCTGTTCCTGAACGAAGTTACGCAGCATCGTGAGTATAAATGTCAACTTCACTTTGCACCCTTCGCACCGTCTTGTCGTAGTCCGAGTGCAGAATGGGCGGCGGCACGCTGCAACTTGCAGGGGCTCGAGCATGTAAACTGTCCATGACAGGCTTTCCGTGATGGGCTTGGCTCCAAGCGGTGATGCTTCGGGTTCCTCTCTCTATATATGTGTCTCTCCCTCCATATATACGTGTATGTGTGTATATACGTATGTACCTATGCATATGTATGTATATATGTACATATAGAAGAACACATATATCTATATGTATAACATTACACATGCACACACATTGCACATACACGTATGTATATCTACGCATATACATACATACATACATATATATATATATATATATACATTATACAGATAGTCGGGCAGACGTGGGAACACGAGTCCTGACAGATGATGTGGTGATACTTCCTTCATGCGGTACACTTTTCCTGCCGCTCCTGCTTTTAGCTTTAAGGAGACGAAAGCTGAGCTTCAAGCTGAGCTTTCCTTCGGTTGGTCTCTGACTGCTCTAGCATTCTGAAATAGCTTGACACAGTTGTAGTACTTGTAGCAGCTGCAACCCCTTGCTGCACAATGAAACTTTAGGAACAGAACGAACCGATATCGAACTCGAGCGAGCTCCGGCCTGCAAAGCGGAGTTGTGCAAGCCTGCGCAGGATTGCTTGGGTTAAGGATGCTGCAGAAGGAGGTGCAAGAGTTTGGGGCATCATGGTCTCACTGGCTCCACCAGATTGCACGATCTTAAGCGAGTCAGCCTTCGAGATCCGTAGTGGGTAGAACGACAGGAATTGTAGAGGAGGTGGAGCACTAGTGCCATCAACAGTGGCAAGGACAGGGCTGCAGGAGCGGAGCAGTAGAAGACTCTGTAGCAGCAGCAGGCAGTGGAAACGCACGCAGCAGCTTGAGTAGCGACAGTAAGTGTGGCTGCAGTCATAGCAGCAGCACCGACGGTACAGGACCAAACCGCCGTGCACATTTGCCCATCATAGCACGTGCTTGCACCGCACCTCCTGCTCCAAGGGCTTCTCCCCAACGCACCGCTCATCCGGGAGTATGGCCTTGGACCTCGAAGCAAAGCTGTTTGGGTTTCAGAGATCAAGTCGAATGCGTGTGCACGATGTCCGATGCAGATACTGACATCAGCTCACGCACCGCAAGCTTCATAAGAAATCTGCACCAGACCTTCCTCTAATTTTTGCAGCCACACACAGCGCAATCTTCAGAAGCCACGTTCGGAAATTCACCCCGCCGAAACAAGATGTTTGCAGGGCCTGCTGTTGTAGCAGCGAACTATGCGGCTCCTACACGGGGAGAATGCATCGGATTTTTTGACTCATATGCAGGTACATATGTGCGTGTATGCTCGTAAGTATCCACAAGGCGCATGTATGTCTGTCTGTGCTCACATGTGTATACATAGGTATAGATATAGATATATACATATATGCATATCTAGATGCCTGCATCTTTATATATGTGCATTACATACACACGTATACATACAGACAGACAGACCGACAAACAGACAGACAGATAGCCAGGCAGGCAGGCAGGCAGGCAGGCAGACGGTTTGCACTTGTACGTACATGACTGTCATTGTGCATGCACTAAATGTGTACAAACATACAGAGGTGTGTTGGTCAGCCTATGTACCAACCATGTCAGACATGCTAATTCCTTAATATTTATATAAGAGACAGACACTAGCGAGTGCATCCGTGGACAGATTGCATTATCATTCTGATTCAGAGAAGCGGAAATCAGCACAGGCGCAGTGTTTAACAAAAACAGTACTTTGAGTTGACGACCAAACAGCTAGTTTAGGAGCAGTAAGCAGATGGAGCGACAGCATCGTCACTCTCACTGAAACAACTCGACGTCATCACAACCGAAAGAAACAGAGCACTGTCACTCTCGCGGTACTTCCATATTTACAAGACTTTACTTCATGGTCCGGAGAAGCGAACATAGCTAACATGTCTTCAGGTCCTGTTAAATCTCAGGTTGCAGGGCCAGGGATTCTATGCGAGCATTGGTGCCTCATGACCTTAAGACCCTCTAAGAGCAGGAGGCCGCACGAAGGGTCACAGCCTCAAGGCTTCCCGGACGGTATCTGTGTAGCTACATACCTATCTAGATGCATCTCCATAAAAATGTGTATTCTGCAAAAATGTTGAGCCTATACATTCTGCATGTTACCTTGCATTCGCAAATACTTCCAAATTCCCGAAACCCGATTGGGCATGCGTCCTGACTCCTGGGAAGCCACCGCAAGTCCTGTGGTGCAGGAACACAAGTGAAAATCACTCGGCATGGAAAAAGCTTAGTGCAGTCGCATATAGCGCGATCGAACGCAGCAGGATAGGCAAGCTAAGCCGAGGACCCTTCGCACGTGCTCCACCTGAGCCAGCAGTCAGAGAAGGGACGAGCCCAAGCCCCAGTATCCAAACCACGAGCATCCTCAACTCTCAGGGGGGTGTGGGGTGGCAGACCTACAGAACAAGGTGCTTCAAGTCATGGGTGTTGTTACTCGTACCCTGGCTTTTCTATGGGCGTTATGATAATGACTTCTTGCCACTATGAGAACGTTGATCTGTGTTGACTATCCTCAGGTGCTGTGAAAATATTAGTCTTGCCAGCATAGTTTCGAGAACAACATTGGCCCGAGACAGAAGCCGTGGTTTCCGGGCTACGGGTCACTGCGGGGCTGAGGTAGCCACCCAACATAAATCCTAAACCCAGGGCTTGCAAAAGGTCAAGACCCTAACCCTGCAAAGCACCACGACCACGATCCACACAGAGCTTAACATAGGACGCCCTGGCCTTGTCCTATGTTTAACGACAAATACCAGAACGGCGCGTCAGTACTGAGGAGCTGTGTTGTGTCTCCTGTACACCTAGGCCGTAACGGCCTCGCGTTCAAGTGTCTGTGAACTTTCAAGCTCTGCGTGCTCTCCAAATTAGCTCTCATGTTCTTTCTGCATCTCAGGGTTGTGCTCTGTCTCGATGTACTCGGCAGGATCGCTGCAAACCGGACCATCCCAGCCAGTCTTGCAGGAGCCTGACTTCAGGGCTCACAGAGAGAGAAAGCTGAGATAAATGCGCACGAATATACAAGCCCGTATGCAAAGGCAGTACATATAGAGATATGTAGGTATACATACGTCCTTATGCATGCATGTGCAAGCATAGATGCCTTTGCCACCCCCCTTTCGAACCCCAAGTTGCAGAAACACAAGGCCTTAGTCCGTCGGATGCTGATGTCGTGCTCTCTTGGATCCCAAAGCCAAAGGTCACACTGGAGATTTCAGCTCGTGAACCATTGCTGAAATTTCGTATGCTCGTTGTTCTACACTACACCCAGTATGAACCCGACAAGGCCTACAATGACCTGTTCCAAAATCTGATCCTTCCAGCTTGCTCTGAGCACCGTGCATGTGCCGTCGCCTTCCCTTCCTTCGTTGCAGCCCCAGGACCCTTCCTGCACCAATGCATGCATTTGCGCATCGAAACCAGCGTAAACGAGGCTTGCAGGACAGTATCTGCAATACGGACAACTCGTGACAACCCATCACATAATGGCAGCATAAGGCCTGCTGGCCGGGGAACCGTTGTTCACTTCTTGTGATCATGTCCCGGCCTTTAGAACTGATTGGGTCTTATACCACCCAACTCGATGCGAGGCTGCTTCGGGCTTTCCGTGGCCCGAAGGGAGCCAAAAGCTGAGCTCGGCACGAGGCTGCAGCGAGGACAGCTGACCGAGCAGGTTTCCCCGTACCAGTTGGGCTTGCACTGGCAATAGCCCTGGCAGAAAGGCTTCATGAACTCCTGATGCAAAGTGTGCCTCTTGGCCACATTGTCCCGAAGACCCGGAAGCAAAGCTCACCACCAAAGGATGTCGCTCCAGACCGTGAGCCCTAAGTTAAGGCTTCTGAACCGAGGAATCCATGCCGGCGTACGTCGGCATCGCATTCTCCTTGCACGCAGTTGAGACCTGCGAATATCGGAGTGTACATTGTCTTTGTGCAGGAGCAGAAAGCAAAGCTGTATTGCACTGCTGCCAACTGCAGTAGCGTTAACGGATTTGCACTTCCGTCCGCTCGAAAGCCAACATCGAAAAGGGCTTCGGGATTCGGGCCTAGCACCAAAGCTAAACCTTCCAAGTCTAGAAACCACTCACTTCAATCTACACCAGCCATCAAACCTTGTTTGGACTTAGCCGGCTCTTCACCGATCTGCAAGGCCGCATGCTGCCAGTGACTTACGCATGAGTTCCGACCTCGGGAGCACGAAAGGTGATCCAGCAAACGCCAAATGCCGTGCAGGATCCGCAGTATCTAGATTCCAAGATCCACGGCTGTGTTCGACAAGATTTTGAAGTGCACCTACAACTGCATACGTAACCTTCAAATTTTCGTCGAACTGCAGTTTCCGGCCTATGAAGCATCGGCGGGAGCATTCTCCGGGTGGATAATAGTCCTGCTGAAACCCCAGACATCGGTCCAGAGAGCTCTGGCAGGCCGAAGAGCGACAGAAGCGATTTCGGTAGCTCAAAAAACTGACACAATGGCTCTTGTATGCTCCTGTATTGGAGTTCTGTTAAGTTTCTATGCTTCTACAGCTACAGCTTACTTGTAGCTCCGTACAGGAGCTTTCTGACAGTCAGAATGAGAATGACCTGGTTGCGGAGGCCTAAGACCACAACAAGTCGCGAGTATCAGAGGAGCGATACTACTAAAATATGAAGCTTCCCAAATGAAACATCATTAGCTTATAATGTCGTCGCTCGAGCTCTTTGTTCTAAGCCGCATGAAGCCCTCGTCCTGCTCGCACTGATCGCAGTTGGCGCCTCTCCGGCCTGGACGTTTGGCAACAACAAACACACATACAAAAATAGCAGCAAATGCACTCAGCAGAAGACACAACTAGATGTTGTTCCACTCTCACGTGCTCATGTGTGCTATTGAAGAAGCACCACACTACCATAGAGTTTTTCGCACGAAAGACAAGCTTGGGAAATTCTGGAAGGGCTACAACAAAAGTCATTGCCTCGCATAACAAACAGCAGGAAGCCATTGTGAGGGTAGCTCAATCCGTGAAAACGACGGGCCTGCATCGCACACGCAGGTGCCGAAGTCAGAGCACTCACCTGCATGGAACTGCAAGGTCACAGTCTTGCCGTGGCACATCAGCAACTCTTACTCCTGCTGTTGCTGCCGCCACACATGCATGTGCTATACATGCCTACATATGTGTGCAAATATGGACTATATAATATTATATATGTACACATATGTATATGTATATGCATAAGTATGTACTCACGTGTATATATTTACGCACACGATCATACATGCATACATGATCATACATGCATGCATACATACATACATGCATGCATACATACGCATACACATCGACGAACTATCAAGGATTTTACGCATTTTACAGCTCGGTGCTGCTTCACCCAGCAGGCTCGTACTTGGAACGGATTAACTACCAGTGCCAAGCATCGCGTCTTGCTGAACTTTCGCTCCAAAGCGCAGAGTAGAGGGCCCCACCATGACCGGAACAGGTCGTGTTCTTGTCACAGTAGACCTTGGTCGGCGAAGTCGCAAGTCATGTAGGGACGGCATCAGCAAACAGTTTTCGCGACCCTGATCTTGCACGACTATGCATTGCTGCCAGTTTTTGGGTGTTGTCGGTGCAGCTGCTGCCACTGCGCACGTCACTCATTTGCCATGCAAGAGCAAGCCAAAACCCGAAACGCACGAAGCCTTCTGTAAGAAAATGACAAGGCCATCGAGAACTGCTGGCCAAGCAAGGCTGTGCGTAGAGCTGCCGGCTGCAAATCCTATGCCAACGACTCCTCGAGGTTACCAGAGCCCCTCAGGTCTCCAGTGACTGTGCTGCGAGGCTCAGCGCCGAACGTTGCAGACGCGGGACGGATAGTAGTTCTGGGCACACTGCCGGCAGTCTTCGCCTGGGCCAGCAATGTCCCACATCTACATCTGCCGCGCCGTGAGATGATCCGAGGAGAAAAGAGCTGTATGCATCGCACGACAAGTTTCCTTCCAATGCAAGCCAAGGTTTGGGCGAATGGTACTACCAAACACATATCTCGCAGGTTGAGGGTAGTGAGGGAGCGAGATAGCAGCAGCACGTTAGCTTTCCAGATGCTCACGTTGGACGTAGTAGGACACAAATTAAATCGTCGCTCCATCCGAGCCTGAGCAAAAGAGAACACTGAGACCCATGGCCATCCCAGCTCTCATAGCAGGCGCAGCCGTTGATCAGGTGCGTGACAGGGTCGGTGGTGCACTCCTTGGTGCATGAATTCGAGAGGAGCTTGGAAAGTGCCGGTTTCGCTTCCACAGCAGAAGACACCATGAGTGTGCGCAAGCAGGGGTGCAAAGCAGCAGCTACTGTAGCACGGAGAGTGCGCTTCCTTCATCCGAGCTCGGTTCACACAAGTTTGCCACGTCGCTTCCGAAGCCGCCCGGGCCCTCATTGCCTCGACACACCTCCATGCATGTCCTTCGGACCAAATTTGTCCTTCGGACCAAAATCTGAGGCATTCTGAGGCACAAGCTCCGTTACCACTGCAACGGTCGTCGGGATGGCAGTAGATGGCACAGCCTGGAAGGGGATGCCCGCACAGTGGAAGCCGACGGTTGCCAACCGAGAATAGGGCAGGCTCGGACCCCGAACCCAGGAGTCGATAGAGCGCACAAGAGCAACTCGGCTTGTGGCCATTTTGCAAGTTGTAGTAGTACTCACCGCACCGGTCGCACCTGAAGAACAGCGCCGGCAGAAATTCGCTTCGGAACCCCACCGGGTGCCACTTATCCTGACATCCACCCCAAACTCTTGAGCAGCTGAGCCCCGAACGTTTCACCAACATATCCCGGCTTGCAGTAGCAGCTGCCATCTCCTTCCGGACCTGGCCCCGGCACGTTGGAGAAGTGCCCTGGTCTGGTCATGGGTGCGGCGGCCTTCGTTGCAACCTGCGATGCCAGCTCCCGTGCAGTTGCACCTGAGCCCGGACAGTCAGAACAACTCCGGTGCAGGTGAGGCATCGTGAAGTCTGACGAGGTCAAGAACTGGCATCTTGCAACCCACACTGTGCAGTTTGCTTCAAATCTCACATCCCAGTTTCAGAGTCGATGGCGAAATATTGGGTAGGTGAGAAGTGAGCCAACCGCTCCCGCGCCCGGAATGACAACAGCGATGGAGTGGACACAGGAGGGTTATGCATGCTGTCTTCCAAATTGATGAAGTATCCTGCTGTAAGCCCTAACTTCCAAAACCAGTAGAGCGACTGCATCTTCTTTCAAGCCCACGGTCCTGAACACCTCTGGAGAAGCAAATCTCAGAGCCTTTGTGTGGAAGGTATTCTGAGCAAGCGGCAATTGGTCGCATTGCGGCCCGTACCATCCATCTTCACAGATGCAAACCTTCATCAGGGCAGGCTGACGCATTGAAGCGAATTGCGAGGCAAAATACATCGGGCAAGCACCCGGAATTTCAATGGCCTTCTTCCGTGGACGAGGGCACTTTGGGCATGATACGACTAAAGAGCCAAGGGTGCTTTACTTCAGACAGGGCCAAGGAGGGAGCCCTAAAAACCTCTAAGCTCTCACCTTAAACGGAGAGGCCCGGCAGGCCCGCCAGGAGGCCCGGCCTGGTCCCCTTGCAGGTTTACGCCGCAGCTCAGCCGTGTGATGGTCGTCTCTGGCACCTCGGGGACCTTGGTGCCAAGCCGGGCTCTCCTTGGCCTTAAAGCTGCGGCTTCTAATCGACTCCAATCACAAGGGGCTGAGCACTGAATAGGGCAGGCATGCATGGAGGTTCTGCTGACTTTAACTGGGATCGTCCGAGGTGGTGCTAAAAGCCTCGGCAACCTGCATCAACCTCAAACAGAGGCTCATACAAGGGCTTGTCGTTTCTAGGGTTTGTGGCTGCCAAACCCAAAGCCCTGCAGCTTAATGTGCTGTAAGCTATCCCAGAAAGGATTGCTGGTACTTCTCCGAGGACAGGCCAGATGTGCCACGAGCCCGCAAGCCGAAGATCAGAGACGCACAGAGCGAACCCGGCAAACTCGGAAAGCTCACAAGCCACAGCTGCAAGCCCACGGCTTGCAGGATCCGAGCGTGGGTTGGAGCTTGGGTGGGGGGATCGATTTCGGTGCAGGCCTGATAGAATCTCCCATGCACGAATCACGCCAGTAAGTTTCCTTCAACCAGTAACCCCGAACGAAAGGGAACAAGAAGACCGGTCGCCCAGTCCTCAGTCCGCGGCATTTGTGACTCTGAGCTCGGCAACCGGCCAGGAGAGATTCAGGCCAGCCACACCCCGCACCTGCGTGGCAGCTGGCCGCTGCTCGGTAAGGGCGTGGTGCGGTACGGCCGGGTACGGGGTGGATGGGGAATATCTCTGGATTCAATCCTGACGGTCACATCGCTCTGCAACCGAACAACAGGCCAGGTAGCCCACATGGTCTGAGTACTCCGGCAAGATTCAATCCGTTGATGCAACACGCCACTACTCCATGGTCCGGCAACCGGCTCATTCCCATTGGCGTCCGTTCCAATTACAGAAAAGCTTGACGGCGAAGACTTTTTACGATGGCTCCACTGTGTCTCGACATCGCGTCAACGTCGGTGGCCGGTTGCTTGGCAACTGCCAGACACGCCGGGAGGCAGCTGCTGGAGCTACATGTCCCATGACGAGAAGATTGTCCCTGAACAATGAGGAGTCGGCACGGTTCATGCTTCGTATTGTCTGTTGCTTCGTCATGGCCCATGGCTGTGCATGAGACGCACAGGAAACTGTGCTCTACCGGAAGTCGGCACAACAATCATCTACGCCGCGATTGAGTGAAGGTCGCAGGTTCAGGCGCAATGTCGCTTTCATATACCGCCTAAGGAAGACTCGGCGAGCATCTCGACCTTTTGTCGGGACCTGCGGCCTCCAGCGTTCTTTGGCCCGAACGGGCAGGTTCCTGACAGAGCTCTGGGAGGTCTTCGTCCAATAACATTTCAGGGCCTTCAACTGGAAGCCCTCTGAGGGGAGAGCACCACCTCCCAAGCCTTTCGCGCTTGCAGGTCGAATTCGTGCACGGGATATCAAGTAAATTGATTGGGGATCCGGGCTCCTGAAGAAGACGAACTGAACGTACATATCTGAAAATCTGAAGAGTTGGAATCTTGTTTCACGATAGCAACACTACCCTCACATAAATACCTACAATTCGAAGAACAACCAACACCAACAAACGGAGCTGTAATGAACTGAAGAGTATATAGAAAGAGCTTTATGGAAGCGCGTTGACACCTGCCATGTGTACTAATGTCGAAATGATCAGCATGGTTACCATCGCACCAACAGCTTTTGTAATACTCGATATAGTTATGTACATATACATATATAGTAGTAACAATATTAACAGCAATAAGAATAGCTGTCATGGTAAGAACAATAAGCAGTGTGTATATATATATATACACACATCTGTTAAGGGTAAACTACTCATCTTCCTTGAACCCATCACTAGCGGCTGGTAAAAGAAGACTACGACACATTTTTTGGGGCGTTCCTGAAGCTACGTGATCGTCGGCCTCAACTCAGAGCTACCAGCCCAGCCACTCCTGCACTCCGAGAGGGTTTCCAAAGCGAGGCATAACTTTCAACGTTCAATGATGAATGCTTGTGCTTGAAGCTCCGCACCAGATGTGATTATGGAAACCTTTTCGCTTGGTTGTGTGAAGAAGCTAACACATGCGCAGAAAAGCCACTGTTCTTCGGAATTCTTCCGGTTGGACCAAACAGAAGCAGTCTCATTCACCGGTCTTACTGGCAATGCCTCGCTACACTCATACAAAGACTCGCCTTTGCCAGCCTCAGCCGCAACTCTAGATCCGGATCGTTGAAGCCCTGGCATACAGGCATCGCGTCTTGCTAGAACGGCTTCGTGCACCCACCCCGGTGGAGCCTGCAGGAAGGTCATTCCAAAGATTCCAACCTGGCTCTTCTCGGGGCCCGAGGCATTGGGAAGGAATCGTTTCGATGGGCTTCGGGGTCGTCGTGATTTGTTTGTGATTTCTGTTCTTTTAATTCTGCCTTGAGACTGTGGCACTGTATGCACTGTGGGAAGCCTGGAAAGCTGCATCTTTGGCGTCGCGCTTTGGGATATAAGTCCTTTGTGTTAACTCGTACACGACTGACAGACTGGTATCTTCACAGTTCCCAGTCTGCAACGCCAGATTTCCCCTGTGAAGGGAGACATTTCGGGACTGCTAGTGGGCCCTAGTCCAGTTGCCCCAGGCCCGAGTCTTCATCCTCCGTGCAACTCTCACTAGGGGCCGTAGATAGCAGCTCCGGCCTTTGGCATCTCTTTGGACCATTCGTCGGGAACCCTTGGCAGTGGGACTCTTTGTGAGGACGCGTGGTGTCCGGATTGGACCCGAGATGGTATCAGAATTAACGACTTCCAGCATGATGATCTTCGAAGTAGCAACAGTTTCTTCGAACAGCGAAGATGATCCTGATATGGTCATGGCAGCGTCGTCAGGATACAGCAGGCTTCAGCGGGCTTGCGAAACTTCTGACATTCTGATCCTTCGAGCAAAGGGCCACACGTCTTGTCCCAGAACTGCGGCTACGGATACGAACTGTAGCGATTGAAGCTGGTCATGGACCTGACACTCGAGGCCGAGAGGCAGCCACTTAGACCCCTTGTCGGCCAAGTGAGCTTTTTCGCCTCAGTGATGTTTGTCATGAGGCTTCAGAGATTTTTTGTCAAGGTTCAAGGTTTACGGTATAATAGTGAATGGTGGACTACGGTTCTTCGAAGGCAGAGATCCGCCTCTGGAGTATGATAACGATATGGCGGCCAACCATTGTTCAGCACTGGGGGAATAGAGGCTCCCAATTCAGACCCTTCTCGATTCGTCGGCTTCCCTGCATCGAAGGTGGTCGCATGGGCGAAGCAGAGTGGTGAAACCGCCCTCGGGAACTAAGTCCTCGGCTCCAGAAAGGGGCGTCAATGTTTTCCTCGGCTTGCTCAGAGTCAGGCAACATCCTCCTTACCTTTCGCCAGCTTATGTTTTTGTCTGTGCTTTTACGCTCGTTATTCTTGCTACAATCATGCAAGTCAGCAGTAATAGTTGGCCTGCCTTCCTGCCCTCTTACCCTCTTTGGCTCGCATTTCGCCGCATCGGCCCATGTCGAGAGGTAAGGCTTGTTCGTTTTGCATACCAAGGTTCGCCGCTCTCTTCTTTGCACACACGGAGAAGGCACTGTGCGCAATGCCAGTCTTCATGTAGCTTCAGGTCCATCATGTAGCCTCCGATGTAGACTCTTGCTTTTGAGAAGTTTCGTGGACAAGCCCGGAAAGCTTCTACTGTCGACACACACTCCTGTAGGGCTATGCTGCAAGGAGGCGGTTTGCGTGGCCAAGAGAGACTGGATTGTCAAGCATGTTGTAGTCCTGAAGACGGCGAAAGTCAGACTGTAATCAGTAGTACGGCTTGTCATATGCTGGATGGAAGGTTCGACACCGCTGCCGGGCAGAGACTGACGAACATTCCTAGAATCTATAGTGATGAATCAAACCGACAGGAGCTGAGGCAATGGCAGTCATCGATATAAAACGCAAGCGACGGGACTCGACAGAGAGGGATAGGTACTGATAGAAACATAAACATAATTGGATAACTGCATACCGCGTGGAGGGATCGAGGAGCTCATGGCTGGACGCAGCTACAAGGCAGCATGTCGTGGATCCTTGAGGATAGGCCGCATGCGCTCTTCGTCGATTGATGCTTCCGCCATGCGTTCTGTACCTCGGAATTGTCAGGTTTGTGAGATCATGGGGAAATCGCTTGAAAAATCGAACCTCCTGTCCAGCACAGAACAGGACCGCACGACTCCTGCTTCTCGCTGGCATCTGCTTACAGCAGCTCTCATGATAAATTGATAGACTGGATGTGGCCGAATCTGTAATTGTCAGCTGGGACACAACGCGACGGGCCCACGCATGGGTCCACATGCCTCTTGTATCGATACGAATCTATCGGCGACCGCTCACGCAGAGGCGCAGCAATCATGACTGCAAGCCACTCAGGGATAGTCTCCCTTGAGCGTCCAAGCATTACACCATCTGACTGATGAGACGATGCTTCTGGGGAAGAACGATGGAAAGCGCGCCGAGCACAAGTCTGAGAGCCAATGCACAAGAAACAACAGGAGCACGGCACAAAAAAAACCACGATGGCAATCCGGCCCAGTTGCGAGACTTCGGCTTGGTGGTAGGAAGGCCTCGCCGACGCATGAAATACTCAGGGTCGGGGGCAGCGGAGACCAGGGCTGAACATGAAGAAGGCTACGTCCACAAATGGCAATAAGTTCTCGAGCACGAGTCTTCCGCACCACCGTAGACATCACAAGCACATCTCATCTTGCTACAAGTTGTCTAGTCACTGCAGGTTCCACAAGTATCCGGGGTACATAGCGCTAGAAGTGCTTTACAGCTTTTTTGCCGTCGTTGTCACCCTGCACATCAGCATTAAGTAACCCTGTAACCCATGGTCGGCGACAATGGAAATGCCTGGTGCTGCTGGCCCTGCATTTGAGGCGCGGCGCGTCATCAGCACCATCCTGAGGGACGGGCGACAGTAGAAGGATGTCGAGTTTAGGGCGTGTTCCTCGCGTGCTTGATTCAAGGCTGAAGCGTGAACATCACTCGGTGTCGTTCCAATCATCATAGGCTCCATACGAGAAGTTGCCTATTCTAGCCAGTGTTTGCGTGAGAACTGGGACCCTTTGTGTTCTGCACCTGAGCGAAAACTGATCAACAACCCGCGCAAGCGCAATCAGCACCTTCTGTAAGCCCGCAACGATCTCTTGGAAACGCACAGCGAAATCAGAAACACGTCTCAACCTCCAGAGCGCCTCCCCGCCGGATTCATGTCTGTGGGATCCTCTGGAGGTGGGATGATGAACTCCTGGCGGCGCCGGTAAGCAAAAACAGCTTCTTAATGGCTAGTGCCATGAAGTGTGTGGCAGGACGTGGGAGGACGATGCCGGTAGGGTCGCAGGAGACAGCAAAGGATATAGAAACAAATTGGAGATAGTAGCAACCACAGCAACAAACGTCCGAGGGACCCACAACGACGACAACGCGGGGCACTACATATCGAGTTCGTGCTTCGGCATCTCCCCAATACGAGATACAAAACTGCTGCCATGGTTTTGGCCAATGCTGCTACGCTTCTATTCCTGCGACAAATCACTACGAGTCGTGTCTACTGCGAATCCCTGCTAGGACTGCTTGTAGCTGAATCTCTTATGCCAAGTTGAGCTGTTTTTCCACTTGCGGACTGGACAAGACAGTTTTGTGGTAACTTGACATCCCGAGGGACCGGTCGTACTGGTGCCGACGAAGGCGACTACCACCCCGAGTGCTACGGCCACTAAACCTTTTATTCTCCACTACCACGACCAAAAACTATAAGACTACTACGAGGCTACTACAAGGCTACTAGTCCCTACACCACTACTACTAGTACTACTACTACTATTACTACTACTACTACTACTACTACTACTACTGCTGCTACTGCTGCTACGACTACGACCCACCACCACCACCACCACCACCACCACGACCACGCCCTTATCGGTTCTTTGCCCCTCCCGGCGTCGGGTTCCTGGCCGGCACGGGTGATGTCCCAGGTCCGCGTCCGGCCCAGCCGCTTTCGAACTGTCAGGACCTGTCCCATTTTCCCCCTAAGCCCTGAACACGAAGTGAATTGACGTGTGGTCACACAGCTTCTTGGTATGTACAATGCAACACAGCGGTGGATGAATCTGAAGGAAGATGCAGGTAATTTGGAGACCAAGCACCTCTTCCCTGGTGAGGTGGACCAGGGAATAGAGCCCGCACTCCTGGCGTTTAGGCCCATTGGCTCAGGCTTAGACACGGTTTGAAGTCTTAGCCATTGGCTTTGGGATGCTTGCGATTTGAGTAGTTATGTAGGGCTAAGGGACAAAGTAGGGTGCTTTCTTTGCGAACGGCATGCTGCAGTGACCGTCATCCCAAAGTAGTAGGGGGTCTCAGCATCATAAACTCCTCTACTGGGAATCTCCTACGTCCTAACATACACATTCAGAGCTCTAACACATTCCTAAACGCCTCTTGCGATTCCTTTGCCGTCTTTGAAGATTGTAATTCTGCCCTGGCATTCCGGATGAATCCGATCCGCGCCGGAAACACACCTGACTTCATGTGCGAGGATGTGGAACGTCGGATATCGTCGACATGCTCTGAGTTGCTTTGCTGGCAGGGCTGCCACCTCTTCACGGCGAATCCAGCTCTGCTGACGACAACTTCCCACCACCGTCATCTGCGCCTCATCGGACAAGAGCTCGCCGATGTCGTTGCAGCGAGCATACAGCACGACGAAAGCCTCCACCTCGGTTTTGGGAATTGTTGTCATGGCATCAGAGGATGTTCTGACGTGTTGATCGTTGATGCGCCAGTACTAGTGAACTGAAACAGAAGACGCCAGTGAGTGGGAATAGAATGACAAAGCCTGCACATCAGAATCTTGCCGTCCCCAAACAAGATAAGCTGGTGAAGACATCTTCAGGAGCCAATCGCTCCACCAGGCCATGTGCCGGTTCTCGTTGCAAAGTGCGTGGTGCATGCAGGCTTATGCCTCTTTCGTCTCAACACAGCGCCTTGAACATGCAAAGCGCTTGGTCGTTTTTCGAAACCTCACCCTAGCCGCGCCACCCGTGGCGAATCCCTGATCTCCGTATCCAGCTCCAAAGCTGTGGCTGGAAGTGCTTCAAGAAGCCAGCCTCAGCATTGGAGCAGTTGAACTGCTGGGTCGCTTAACGTGCAATCCAATGCCATGGTGCTCATTAAACTGCTGCTAGCTGCAAGGCGGCGAGAAAGATGTGAGAGCTTTGGCCCATGCAAACTTTAAGCTTTAGGTCCCAGCCTGTGTATACATGTATATATATATATATATATGTATATGTGTGTGTGTGTGTGTGTGTGTGTGTTTGTATCTCTCTCGCTCTCTCTGTCTCTCTGTCGCTGTCTCTCTGTCTGTCACTCTCTCTTTACTGACACATGGGGATTCACGGATTTAGGCGGCTGGATCCCTAGGGTGGGGCAGTCGCGGCCATGGGGCCACACTGCTCCGGTGTGAGCACGAGACGATGCGCAACGGAGCGGAGGACCTTCACCTTGAGACTCCTCGGCTGGGACAGGTTCACTCATGCAACTGCTACTATTTGTTCTCCTACTACTACTACTACTACTACTACTGCTACTACTACTACTACTACTACTACTACTACTACGACTACGACTACGACTACGTGCTACTCCGCCTCCTACCTGCTGCAGCTGCTACTACTACTGCAGTGCTACTGATGCTGCGTAGAGATGCAGCCAGAACGAAAGCAAAGCAAACACTACCAATGGTTATACTGCTGTACCATGAGTTTGAATTCTACAAAGTGCTGGTTTTGGACTGCTTGACCTGGGCACTGCTGTGGCTTTCGATGGTGTGGGACGTCGTGGCTGTAGCGGCTGTAGCATGTCACGGAGTTCGGTACTCTGATACTCCCTGTGAATAGAACAGAAGCAGGACCGCAATGCAAAGAATCCCCTGCTGCACAATCGTTGTTCAATCGCTGTGATAAGTCTCCAGTTAAGCTACAAGTGTTGGCATGCAACTTTGAGCCTCTGTTCGTTCCTAGGGCGAGGCATGCACCGCTGCCGGGATGCTGGTTGAAGTCCATGGTCGTCAAGGCCTTCGAGGTAAGTGGGTTCTGGCAAATCAGTCTTCGATTTCCTGCACCTGAATCGCATTAACCTGAAGGGCGCGCTTCGAGTTGGTCTCAAGTCCTTCACCTCCGCTCCCTCACGCAGGCCCAGCCAAAGAGCATGAGATGATTAAACGTCACCCGTAGTATAGGATGCAAAGCATAGCATCTCGAATGTAGACGAAGCAAGCCTACCTGATGGAAAAACATGTGAGAGTGCTGACGTGAAGTTAGCAGCCCCTCATGCTCACAATCCCGTCATTCCAAGTGGGAATGCCATGCAAAGGGTGGATGCCGAAACGTTCTAAAAACTGAGAAATGTTGAGAGGATTCGATCCCAACCACTGGCTGCACCTGTCTGAGCAGACGGACGGTTCGATCAGGTGTGCTTGGCGTGCCTGCAGGGCCAAGAGCATCGAGCTTCGACGTATGATCATATTTATATGCCTCTTCCTTTCCTCCCTCGCTGGCTCGCTGGCTCGCTCGCTCTCTCTCTCTCTCTCTTCTCTGTCTCTCTCTCTCTCTGACTTTCTCTCTCCCCACATACATACATACATACATACATACATGTCATACATGTGTAATTAAATACATTCGCACATACGTACATACATACGTAAATACATAAAGACACACACGCACGCACTGACACATGCACACCTAGCTATCTAGTACTAGGCGTCTAACTAGCTGGCGGCTAGCCGTCTGTCTACCGCCTGTAACTCAAGATATGAGGCAGTGGGGGACCCTTTCCCCTGTAGGCTCCTCTCACAAGGTCATGAAAGGCCCCTCCGCTCGGAACTACATAGTGTATGTCGAAACCGTCGTTCCGGGGATGTATTTGGGGGATTTACTTTTACCATTGTCTATCTATCCATCCATATCGCAAAACTGCCGGGGGGGCCGTAGCCGACCTTTCGCATGCCGCAAGCAAGCAAAGGAATCTGTGACAAAAAGCCAAGCTGAATGAACATCCCCCGGACTCATGGGTAACGGCCTCGCTGTGGATGGAATGGGGAGCAGTAGTCGAACTTGATCTCTGCTCTTGGTGGCAGCTGTACATCTGCGCTCCTTGCATGGGCCGCGACTGAGTCTTCAAGGGCTGTGACAGCAAAGGACAAGCAGCCTCCATATGCGGTAGTTGCCGTTCACAGAGCAATTCCGTATGCACTCGTGATCCTTAGCTGCGTGCTCTTTGTGCGTGTGGCATGAACCTCGCCGCACGTGGATGGAGTGACTGCAGGCAGCCAGCGTCTCTAACAAATCAGATGGACTCCGGCAGCTTTAGTAGCGTCTGCAATGGCGCAAGTATGCCAAACTAACCCAAACTAACTCACATACCACCCTTGCTTGCCAGGGCACTCCATGCTTGCTCAGGTCAGGTCGACCCAATCTCTTGGCCCGATCACCTGCTCAGGGGGTCAGAGATTGAACATTTCGTCTTCTGGGAAATACTACGACGATCCGAACCGACCGACGCAACAAGTATTGCTGATGACCAGTGCCCATCTCTGTCAGCTCTGTTAGGAGAGGCACTCCGACTGAAAAATGCATGGACACTGATTTTCTGAAGCCTACCAGTCGTTCCGGCATGAACCTCAAAAGCCAACGAACTGCTCTGTTTTGCTGGGAGGGTGCGCTCCCAGTGGTTGACAATGATCAGGTCATCCAACATCTTTCGATGTGCAGGTTCCGTCACCTGGCAGTTATCAACTAAGAGCTTCAGGCCAGACCCTTGGCTTACGAAGCACATGTTCGACTGCAACTTGCGAGCATCAGGCTGAGGCAATTCTGTCTGTCAAACATTTTCGAAGGTCAAATCCGTGCTAGCATAAAATTGTGCATGACACCATAGCTGCACTCCAGCAAAGGCTTCGCACGATGTTTGCCGCCACAGTTGGCCCGTGGTGCAGAAATAAGCCTTTACCTAGGTTAACTTGGCGGCAGACATCGAACTCGTAGCGCCCGTCGGCACCTCAGCTGCAAGCAAAGACCCCGGTCACATTCGACAGCCAAGGTTTCGAACAGATCTCGGACTCTGAAAAGCTTCGACGCGACGAGATGTTGCATCGAAGAAACATGCAGGGTTGAAGAGAAGCAGGTTCACGATGGCAGCCCGATCTCTGCAAAGTGAAGCCTGCTCGAGCAAGCAGCATGGCTTAATGCACGGACACGGCTTTGCGATTCTTTGCGGCTTGGTGCTGATGCTTTCCGCAATGCACAGATGCTGCTCTGGCGATCTTGACAACAGATGCTCAGTAACGAGGTCTCATGTGTCATCGATGCGATGTTTCAGAATTCGTCTCATTGTCGCGTCGTCTTGCGGAGTTTGACTTTACCAGCTCCAAGGCCTGCACAAACAGTAGGACACAAGTAGTGACTGCCGGTATTGGAGGTTCTCACCTACATCGCAGTCGAGATTGCAGCTATCTTCGATTTGTTGCATCGCTGTGGTCCGACAACTGTCCCCAGATGCCTTTTGGTGAACAGAGTTGACAGCAAGGTCAAAGCCACCTGGCGAGTCAGGCAGTGATATTTAGTCTTCAAGCTCCTGTTGCAAAAGAACGTGAACAACCTGTTTAAGCTTCAATTCCTGGCCCTGATGCTCCAGCAACTGTGAACAGCTGCAGCATTCAGGAACAACGCATTTGGTACTCACTCCTTCACACAGGGCCTTAAGAGTTCATCCTGCACTTCAGCATTACAACTTGCGTCCGATTCTCCTACCTCAACCCTGCAGCACCCAATCTCCAGTTAGATTTTTGACACGCTTACTCCAATCTCAATGCTCCACCTAGAGTGTTGATCTCCGGAACTGCCGGCAGCAGCCTGTCAACGACTTCCCCTCGCCTGGGATGTTCATGCATGCGGAAACTGTAAGACCTTTCTGTAATTTCGCCTTCGGTTGACATGTGGAGGCCCAGACCGTCAGTTCTTAGGGCCGTCATAGAATCCACAAGGGCTGGCTTCTGTAGAGATACCATGAAATGGCGCCCATCATACGTTCAACTCGTTCGGACATCGCTAGACAAGCCGAACCTAATAATTGTGCAACCAGAATGGACATGCTGCAGCCGAGATACAGCACTGGATCCAATTCCGAGAGATACCTGCAACTTCTTGTAAGTCATGCTGTATCAATAGCAGAACGTTAGCGTAGAAGTGCTCGTTTGAAAGCTCATGGTCCTGGAAGCCCAACCCCAAAGTTTACAGCCATAGGCTGAACTCGAAACCTTGACTCCCTCGCCAGCACTTGGCAGCAATTCCATCCTGACGTGGCTGAGCTTGAGGTTGAGGTCTGCAGCCATTGCCTGCGCTTGGAATCAGCAGGCAGCCCCCAGCCTTTGAGGGCTGCTTAGGTTGCAGACGCTTTGGGCTGTTGCGCGCTGAGGTCTTGGGCTGAGCTTGGCTTCCGTCGTAAGCTGGAATTCCACACACCAGAATCCCAAATCCCGCTCGTTGTTCAACCTTTGCACCAAAGGCGACGCAGCATTAGCAACCAACTCGATTCTGCAAGTCCTGAAGTTAGACTCCGGAGCCTGCCCACAATCCTGTGTGTTGCGGGATCGCTTTGCGGTTCAGATCCCCTTGCGGGTTTACTTTCGGGGTAGGGCTCTAGGGTGTGATGCGGAGAATACCAGTCTAAACAGGCTCTCAGTCAGGAGTTCCAATCAACGGCCAGGCACCTCCAGAAAGAGCAGTCGTGCCTTGCCAGGCTGCGTTTGTGGACTCGAGGAATTCAGGGTTGGCTGTTCACATGTTCGTGTCTGAACTCGGAAGTTCAGAAGGGCGATGGCCTTTATGCATATGGTCTTCGAAAGATCAGGCTTGACTAGGAAGGAATCAGGGGAAGGCGACTGTGCGAGGACACAGCTAGAGCTTGCTTGATTGATGGTCAACGATCGCATGGCCCGTTGCAGAGCTTTGGCAGACGAGTTTTCCGGAAGACAACATGCGTTGACAGCAAGGCGAATGCAAGGATCCGTGCAGCAGAATTGGTTTCCCGTCGTGGCCTCCACATCAGCCAGGCTGTTGAAGAGCTGTGCCACCTGCCCGCGGAGTCCAACCGCAGTCTGAGTCTAATCATATGAAACGATTTTGTGTTAATTTTTTTTGGGGGGCTGACCTACGGCATCGCCGAGGGCCTCTGCATCTCTGTGTAAAGCATGGGCGACTGCACTGCAGAAGCCGCAAAGAGGCAAGACCTTACAGGGGGCCTTCTGCACGGTGCTTTCGGGCGGTTGTTCTTACCCGTTGCAACTTCTTGTGATCGGTGCTGTTCCATGATCGCGGTACTGATGACGATGATCATGACGGCGACGACGAAGCGGTTTCTGGTCTGCCTGTTTAAGACGAACAGCGAGCAGGAGTTCCTCTGACCTCTCCCGGGTATGGCCTTGACAAAGTCCACGAGGCCAACCTTGAGTTTCCGCTTCTGGTTGATCCTGCCGGCATGTGAGAACGATCGGCCGTGGGGTGCCAGGTAACTCGGGCTTCCGACAAGTTTGGCGAGGGAGGGCGGGGAGCTTCTTCACAGAAGCTACGGGATTCTGCGCAGAAGCTCGGAGCTGCCATAGCTAAACTTTCGCAGAATATTGATGCAACAAAAGAGGCAAGCAGCATCGTAATGCCAACAGTCGCAGCAAGGCTAGCCAACTGAATCATTAAAAACGAAAGCCTGTCTGAAATTTGGAGGTAGCGGAGGGCGGGGGATCTTCAGACGGTCCGAGAGATCAAGGTCGTCGCATCCTGGTCGCTGCCCAGCCTTGGCCAGGGCTGCTATCTATCCGTGGCATTTCTCCCCCGAGCCATCGCCGCTTCTGATACGACGCTTGTCAGAACCTTCGCGATCCCCAAGCTATCATTCTACTGAGCCAATGCTTTAGTTGTTGTCACTGCTTGTTGCTCCTCAATTGCCATCGTTCCCCGAGTCCTAGGCCACAAGCCTCGCTTTAGAAGTACACACCGGGTTGGCCGTGAGTGCAGGCTGCGCGTCGTAATGGATGCTTTTTTAGAGGAGTGCAGTGACTTGAGTTCTCCGGATAGGGAGGAACCTAAAACCATCTATCTAATTAGATTTCGAACGCCGCCGAGTTGTGGGACGAGGTGAGAATTTCTGGAGCAGGTTAGCTACCGGGGAGGAGATGAATTTGCAGACTGTTGGAGGTGCTTGGGGCTTGGGTGGCGGCGCGGGCAACTATGCATACCGGTAAGATGCGAGAGTACGAGGGAACTTGCCGTCCGTAGTTTTAAGGTATCATACACGAAGGTCTTACAACTTGCCCACAGAGCAAGGGGGGACACGGATGGAAAAGATCGAGTCCATCTGGGTGCGTGGCTCCATCGGGAACCGGAAACTGAAGCTTACCATTCCTGTCATGTGATCTGCGCAGGGTCGTACGATGCTTGAAGTTGCAGGCGATCAGCTGCTGTCGGAGCTGTAATGCGCGGCATGGAGATTCCAGTTCGAGGAGTTTGGCAACCAGGGAGGCAGCCAGTCTGCACACTTCCGAGTTTGGAGGCGTCCCGGGTCCGTTCAGGCAAGGACGGGCCGGCAGTGCCTTTGTGCGGAACCTGAGATGCACGGGTCGAGACCCTCGTGATCTGAACCGCTACATCTGTCACAACACCTGAGCTCTCGGACTCAGCTCCGAGCGGTTTGCGTCTTGTTCCAGCCCTGTAGAACTTCATCCCCTCGCTCCTTAGCAGTGTGGCTTGAGCTGACAGCTGGCTTCAAGAGCAAAGGTGCTTGGATCCTCACTTCGACCTAGGGCCATATACATGCTTCATCTAACCCGGAAGCCTAGCAAGACTGGAGAAGACGGTGAGGCCCTGAAACCTTGGGAGGCTCCTCCAAAGCCCGAGGGTAGGACCTCGAAGGCAAACAGCTCCTGCATCGGAGTCGACAGCTTCTGCGTGCGCCTTCCAAGACATGGCTCGGGGCGCCTTTTGAGGCTTCAGGCACGGCGAATTATGGATGATCTGTGGAAGGTGTTGAGGCACATCAAACGAGACCGCGGAATGGCACCCAGCTGGCAAGCAGTATTCAGGCTTCTGGAGTTCGCATGGGGCAAAGGACATTTGCGTATGTCCTACTGCTCGAAGCTTTCGGGAATGTCCATTTCGCTACGTTGGGGCTTGGCGCTTCAGGCTTGCTGATAGAGCAACTGCCTGAAGGTTCCGACGCCTGCAAACCTTGCTTCTCAGTCCCTGAAATAGGTGTGCGTCGAATCCGAAACGACACTTCGGTCAACTGCCGAGCCGCCTGAGCAGCATGCGCAGCAGTGCACGATGCTGTGGATGCTCCAAGTTCAGATCGTAGTGAGCTGTAGGATCCGACTGCTCCTGAGTGTGTCGTGGCGATGTGTGGATGCATTGGCCCTGTCGTCTGAAAGCCGAACTTAAGTGGCTAGTTTCATAAGATCCGAACCCTTGTGTAGCTCTTATAGAGCATGCCCCAAAGTGACGACATTTTTTTACCAAATACGAGACATATGTAGAACATGCCCCAAAGTGAACGATTTTTGTTTACCAAATCCGAGACATATGTATTCCACTATTGTGCTGCAACTGACCGCCCAATCGCGCTAGAGCATCTGTTCTAATCTTTGCTATAAGGCTTTGGCTACATTGCTACATGCAGCTTCTCCAGAACTTATCCTTGGAAGATCGCCTCTACGATCTCTTTATTGGGGCATTGTGTGTTCTGCATTCCTTGCTATAACTGCACCAAACAAAATACACCTTCGCCACACGCTACATTTTGATTTGTCCTGGGGACCATGTAAATTGCGGCCTCATTGAAAAGTGTGGTCCCCATGCTCTCGACAGTAATTTGATTTCCTGAGTGATACACCTAACCAGTTCGTAAGCTGCCAAAATCCAAAACCTCTTCGTCCTCACAATGATTCATACTGGTCTTATCTGGGTCATGTTCTGTGACCTTGCTATTTCCCGCAGCATGTCGGTGTAGAATCTGAGTAACACTTTCTGGAGCCCAATCACATGCCATGTCCTAGTCCCGACCATGATTCCTGGTTATTTGCCATGTAACCGGACATACGTGACTGCAGTTCCGAATTTACTCTTGCAAAGCCACTATGCCGCAATGTTTTTTTAATCCGTGCAACCTTGCTGCTTCTAAGCTGATGTTGCTTGAAAAACGCACCGTGTACCTAAGAGGTTTCATAGTTCATCCCCAAGTAATTGGATTTGGCGTTGCTTTCTGTGTACCGGCCGAGGAACCTGAGAGTTTGTGCTTCAAAAAAGTGCTTACTAATAAAAGTTATATACATGTGTCTGTATGTATACCTACATAGATACCTATGTATGTATACATACGCACATACATACAATATACATCAGACAGTACATAATACGTAAAGCATAAAGCACACTATAAGAGGCAGCCATAGAACATGTAACATGTAAGAAGTTGTATCTAATCGAACTACAAGCTAAAACATTATACAATGCAAAATATATGGTACTTGCAAGCGTAATGCATACATGCACATGTATATATATATATATATATATATATAATATGTATATATATATATATATATATATGTATACCTGCACATATCATGTATGCATGTACTACGTAAACATACAATGTACATTATGCAACATAGTTTTGTATGTGTGATATGACGCAAAGTATCTGATAGATTCAATAGGTGCTACGCATAAGGTGTGTATATATATATATATATATATATATACATACACATACATACATACACACATACATACATATACACATGTAGTATATATGTATACCTAGCACACTTTTCGGCTTAGTCTTAGTCAATAGCTCTAATGCTGATGGCCTTTGACTCAGCCGGATGCTGTGTACGCAAGCGGTGGTGAAAGCATTCTGCGAGGCCAACTTCATGTTTAGCAGTCTAACAGTCGGACACTAAGCCACACTCGTAAGACCCACTTGGTATTGCAGTGACCAGCTACAACATCAGTCTCTTCATTCATGTTTTAGCGCCCTCGGCCAGCAGGCGATGGATGACTATCGCAACCAGCTTTGCTCGCGCGATCTGCTGCTAAGACGAGGATTCACGGGCCGGAACTGGAACATCTGCGCTTGCAGACCCCAGCTTCACGACCCGTCCGAAGCACAATCAAGCTCTGCTATCTGCTTTGCAGCCCAGCCTGAAAATGAAACTCTCAGTAATTCGAGAGTTTCTATGTCCAAGACAAGTTAGAGCCTCTGTTGCGCTTTGGACGGCGCAACTAGGATTTCCAATGCTTGGGCGCATCCTCCGGCATAACGCGGGAAGGCATAGATAGAACCTCAGCGTTAAAGTCGATTTGCGCATATCTTTGACAGAAATAGACTTAGCTGAATAATTACAGAGGTGCACCGACAGATGAATGCGTACCTGTGTATGCTGTTTGTTCGTTCATCCGATCGTCCATCAACCCATCCATCCAGCTGCAATTATGACGTGTGGTGTCCAAGTGCCCGCAGGGAAAGAAGATGTATTGATGGGTCAGAACGAACGGAGCTCTGTACCGAATGGTTCAAAGCCTCAACTCCGGCCTCTTGAGACGTCACCTCGTGTCCTTGTGATTCTACTGGTCCTGCTTCAGGCATGAGAGCTCAGCTCCAGACCTTTTGCTTGGCCTTCTCTTCCAGGGCTATCATGTGCAGTGTGCCTGCAAGGTGAGATGGCATGCAGGGCTCTCGTAGGAGTTTGATAAATGTGATTACATTAGCATATATTAGCATCCGGAGTGCGATGACGACCCGGCACCCGCACCGCCACCGGCACCAACACCAGCAGCACCAGGACAACAACGCGACGACGACGTCCACGACGGCGACAACCATCACTTCTGCTACTGCTGCTGTTTCTTCTTGCTCTTCTGCTACTGCTGCACCTCAACCAGGACCACGCCTTGAATTGTTGAAACCAACCTACATACCACGTTGCCTTTATAGTTGCATGACAGAACGATGACCGATTGGCAGCATTTGCGCTACAACCCGAGCTAAAAGGAAATCCGTGTTGATGCCTCCCTGCCGGTGTTGCTTTCAACATTGCTAGCATAGGTGTCTACTGATGTATCTTGACCGCGCTGACGGTGACAATTACGATGCTGTCGAAGGCATTGTTGAAGGTGCGGATGATAGCGGGTATGGCCGTGATGCGGGCAATTCGATTCGCGTCGCTCCTCAGGCGGCCCCTCTTCTGTTGCTTGTTGGACGTGACCTCCCCGGCAAGCATCGACACGTGTTCCCCTTTGACCACGCTTGCACATGGGCGAGCTTTACTCTCCGAGTGGTTATCAGAATTGCCAAGCTGTTTCGAAACGTTTGCTACCCATGCCCGCAGCTGCACCTTGCTTATGACACTAGCGTTGGTGAGCCGGAGGTGGACCCAAGAAGGACCGCACCCAACAATAGTCTCGTACAAAAATGGAGGGGCGACACATTGTAAACTGATGCCAAACCCCCATCTGAGAACTCCCGGATGCCTTTCACTGCTTCGACAAGGATCCCAACGGGAATGGAGAAAATGGCAATGCCGAAGACAACCTGAGCTTCGGAAGAAGCTTCAGCAGTCGGAGGGCTCAAAGTCTTCGGGTCGGACTTGGGATATCATTTTCGGGTGTGATCGGCTTGTCGCAGGCAAGCCAGCCAGCCCCTGGCAAACAAACATACACCCACAGACACACACACACACACAGACACAGAGACACAAAGAGACACAGAGAGACACAGAGAGACACAGAGACACAGAGAGACACAGAGAGACACAGAGAGACACAGAGAGACACAGAGAGACACAGAGAGACACGGAGAGACACAGAGAGACACACAGAGGCAGACAGACACAGACAGACACAGACACACCCGCACACACAGAGACACAGAGACACAGACACACACACGCAGACAGAGACACAGAGACACAGAGACACAGAGACACAGACAGTCAGACAGGCACACACTCGCGATCGAACACACCAGCTCATGCCAAACACGTGTACACACATCTGAATCTGGCTTTGCCTGTTGACGATATGGATCCCTTTCACAATCCTGGATCCTTGCCTTCCGGAAATCCCCGTCTGCTAGAAATTGCACCAATCCGACATTCGGAAAAGTCGCGTAGAAGATGCATAACCGTGAGCCGGCGTAGGTGAAATCCACGTTCGCCCACTCGCCGGTCAGAAAGATGGAGCACCAATACATAGCCTCAAAAGTGCTCAGCTCTGGAGCTTTACTCTGGAAAAAGGATTTCTACGGGTCTACGAGTGGTGCGCAGACTGGTACCGCAGAACCAGCCATCATAGAAAGCGGATACTGTGGCACAACGGACAAAAATCAGAGAAGCCCATGCATGCTGATATACAATCGAGCCCAAGAGGCAGATGGCACATCTGGCATGTCCTCGAAGGTACCAGGACCACCGCACTGTTCTTTGGGGTGCCTGAGGTCTAGTGCAGGCAAGTCAGAGAACATAGTTAAGGCCGAAGTGCAAGATTTCGCACTCACAGGACTTGCAGCTTGGACACTTTGCTTCGCACTCTGTGGCTTCGTTCTGCCACTCGTTCTCCAACCACATGAAGAGGGCTGACGTTGTAATCCATACCTCAAGGAAGAGATGCTTTAGAAAGACTTCGTCGGGACCCGCAGGCGGGCCGGCACAGAGTGAGCTGAACCCATTGGTCTTAAGATGGTGCAGGTTGGATGGCTGATGAAGCTGATGAAGCTCAAAGCCCGCAAGCCGTTTGCACTTGCTTGCAGCTCGGCGGCGTTTAGTGCCAAGTATGCGGGCACCTTCGCAGAAGCAAGTGCGTGGCTGTTTTTTTGCATGCGTAGACGTACAGTATTTGCAACAGTGTCTGGGATCTGCCGAATTTGCCCCTTCATGCAGATGCACTTGTCACAACCCTGAGAATCCCGCTGCTAGCTTCCGGCTGGCGTCTTTCAGTACACGGCCTGCCAATAGCTGCAGGGAAATGGAGGAATGGATGCAAGGTTCATGTTGTAAGCAGGCGTATGCATGCCCAAGCCCAGGGGAGGGGGGCGTGACCAACCGTGTTGCGCGGGAATTGACCTGCTTACAAATGCCTCCTCCGGAGGGGGGCGGGAGACCCGGCTGGGCCTCGGTCCTGTCCGGCCCCTGACCTCCCTCCGATTATGGATTTATGGGCAGGTCGCACGACTTGAATTTATGCTTCTTTATGAACTGCTCCGGCACATCTATGGTCGCTGTATCAACGGTGCAGCGGGACTTACGTTCGCCCCGGCCTGAGAGGGTCGAAAAATCTCCCAGGCGGCACCCCCCTTTGCCGTACCAGCCGGTTATACCGGTACACTGGATAGGGGTCATAAGAAACGGTCCATGCGCCAAGCGCTGACCCATGTATGGTTCTGATTTTACAGCGTGGGCGTCGAGACATTCTCCGCTCCTTCCTACGATGCCACAGGCATGTTTCTATGGTTCCTCTTTCGGGTTGCTCTTCACACTACGCACCGCCGGCAATGCAGCAGCAGCAGCATATGCATGCCCAAGCCATGTGTGCTTATATAAACACAGGCTACAAGGGTTGTAGCTGAAACTCCTTTTGCCCTCAGTCTTGCTGCCGGCACGTGCGTGCATGTTTGGTCGGCTAGCGGTTCCCAGCTTAGTATGTCAGTGAAGTGTTATTGCAGAGATTTGGGTTGGCTGACCGACGCCTGGTTTGGGGGTACGGCACCCCGAAGGTTCGGGGAGGCCCGCCCCCTATACCGGAGTGTTGAACTCCTAAGATGACGCTTGCGGAGGAGCAAGATGGGCAAGAAGCGAGACACAAATTTGACGATAGGAATAAGCTGACGTTGTCAGCTTGCTACTGAAGTCCAAGAGTCACAAGAGTAAAGAGGAACGGTTTTGCAACATACTTCACGGACGAAAGGCTACCAGACCCGCTGCAAGACCTGATGTGGGCCGATCGTGGAAAGAGTGATTTGAATTGCGTGCTTGGGTCCATTACACTTGCAGCAAATCTCAATGCGCCCCCAACATCGCTGTATGCTAACGGTGCAGCCTAATATTTGGACTTCCGTCTGAAAGACGTGGAAGTTGAGAATCCGCACAGCGCGCAGCATACCTGTTTCACAGGTCGAGTCTTTCTTTCCAATGTCTTTGCCGGGTTTGGTTCAGCTTGGCTGAGGTGCATTGACATTAGGACCGGGGTGAGTGAACCACTTCAAGCAGCCAGCAGCAGTGACACGTCGGAAGTTCTACATCAGCTTCTACATAACAATCCGAATCAAAGATCCCTTTTCATGCAGTCAACATTGCGCTGCAACCATGTCTCCATTTTTCGAACCCGAACCCTAGGCCCTTAGGCTGGTGGTGTAAGATGGTTGCAACAGCACAAGGCGAGTCGTTTGTCCTCAAGATCAAAAGCCATGGACAGCAACAACCGTGAGTCCGTATGCCGTTCGAGCTGATTACTTGCCTTTCCCACTGTCTTGACATCCCCCTTCCGGTGGGTGTCTGTGCTTCGTCAAATCTTCGCATCTCCCATCCCCCTGATTGTCAATCTGTTTTCCTTCTTTCTGCCCGCTTCATTCACTCACTCACTCACTCACTCACTCACTCTCTCTCTCTCTCTCTCTCTCGCTCCCTCACTCTCTCTGCTGCACGCATAAGCTCACCCCCAGTTCCTACTCCGACACTCTCCCTGTAGAGCATAAGGCTCCCGTCGCTCTATGTCCCGTCTCCTCGTATTGCCAGGCAAGTCGCTGAAGCATTCCGCGATGGATTCCTTGTCATTGTGAGCATGGCCTGTGGAGCTCCACGGCTGTCCCGGTTTGTCCAAGTCCAGGCTAAGCCTGGAAACCCTTCTGTAGTGGTCCTCTTGGAGTCCGTAGCTGCCTTGCTACGCTACAATTCTGCGCTTATGGGGACTTCAGCTGGAAGCATTGAAGTTCTTCGCTTCAAGGCATATGCAATGTGCCTCGTGAGAGCCAGTTGTAGAAGACGAAGATGCCCGGCAAGCATCCGATGAGGTCCTCAGAACAAGACTATCAGGTTATAGAGAATAAAGCATTCGAGTAATTAGGGTGCTCTCTCCACTACGGTTTCCGTGTGAACTCGTAATCCACTATGACGGCTCGCTGCTCGGCTCCGGCGAGTCTTCGTGCGGCCAAGCTTCGATGATGCCGAAGAAGTTGAAGACCTAAGACTTCGGTCAAGGGCATACTCGCCATGGACTCATGTCGGGCACTCGGGGCAACAGTGACACCTCCCGCCGAATCGCAAAATCCAGCGAATCCTCTACACTACAAGCCCGGCAAGCCCGAAACAGCCCGAAACACTGCTGAACCGACAAAAACACGGCCACCAAGGACGGCCCCAAACCGAGGCTTCTGCGCTCTTGGGCCGAGCCAAAACGCGGACCACCTGGGCTTCCAAGCACACGCCGCACGATTCACGCCACTACCGCCATCATCATTCGATCTCGACTTCTTCTGAAGAATCCGGTTGTGCATCCCGTCTGGCGTCTGGTGGGGGCCTAGAGGGGAAGCATTCATTAGCCCAAACCCTTGGTGTTGAGAACCGAGGGCACACACACCAACTGAGCACTCGCTTGGGAGGTGATTAGGAACAGCAGTGACACAGGGCACTGGAATGCTTCAGCCACTTTGATTTTCCCAACGACGGGATCTCGAGTCTTTTGAGTAGTCCTGGCAGTCTCAGACTGGGACAACCCACATCCGGGAGCTTAAATCAAGCCCTGAACGCAGCGCCTTACGCGAATTGCAGCAGCCTGCAGCCTACCGGAAAACTGAAGCACACCTCGTCGCATCTTGCCTATCGACCGGAGCCTTCGGCAGCATACTTCTCCCGCATGATGTTTGCCGGAGCTGAGCCGAGTTCCACACCGGTTCCTCCGTAGGATTTGGGCAAATTCTTCTCTGGAATTACCTCTCGTAGTGTTTTGAAGGACTGCTCTTCGCCCACAGCGACCCTGAGCCGATCTTGCTGCTTCTGCGACAGAAATGGCCGGAAGATAGCCCAAACGGTCTGCCACCATTCCGGTGCGTTCACGCAGACCACGAGACGCTCGCGATCAGGCATATGTGTCTGAACTGCATTGTAAGAGGCCGAGAAGACTCGCAGCATCTTCGGTGTGACTTTGGTAATGCTGAAGCCCTTCATGTCAAGGATGATGGTAAGGTACTGCTTGTCATCGCGTTTAAGCCACACATCCCATGTAAACAGAGTCTGCCACAAATAATCATCTTTGACACGCTCTACTGTCATGCCAGCCTCATCAAGACCAGCTGGATTAAGGTCTCCGGCTATGACCCAGTATGTCATCCGCCCAGCCTTGTCCGGAAGGTGGAGGTAAGTAGGATAGTTCTTCTGTATGGTGAAGAAATCTGGACTCGGTCGGCTGAAAATGCCTTCATCATCGATCTCACATCGCCACTGCAGTGTCTCGACCCATCGTTTCATGGCCTTTTTGGCATCTCCGTTGCAATGATCTACCATATATTGTGGTAGTGCCCTGTCCAGCTCTCTCAACTGTCTGGGGCTGGGGTCAGGGCCTAGCGCTGCTGCTTGGCAAGACTTTGTTTTCTCCTTCACCGGAGCTCTTGCTGTGAGGGAGAAGCCCGGGCATGCGGAACCCACCGCCAGGACGACTCCCAGAGCCAACAGTTGAAGTTGACCCAAGAGACCTAGCTGCGCTCTCCTTTGCGCTGGCTTGGTCTTCGCACCCTGGGGCCAGCGTGGCATGGCGACACCGGCCCAAGTTCTGTTGGAGCCCGTGCTGCACAACATTTGCATTCGTCTACGCGTACACAGATACATACATCACTGGCAAAACACAGATTTTGGCATACTATGCATGTATACCTATTTCTATATCTATACCTGTGTATATATCTACACAGCATAGTTACGCATGTATGTATCCATCTGTGTGTACACATAGATGTACATATACACACACGCATGTACGGTAGAGAGAGATAGGTAGGCACATAGATAGAGAAACCGAAAAGCAGATTTGGATAAGGTGTGACAAGATAAGTGCTACGAGTAGGATAGAAAGAAAGAGAGTTAGATTAACGGGATTGAAATCGATTCGAGTCGATTAGTTGGAGAGGTAGACAGGCAGTTAGATAACTAGTTAGTTAGGTAGATACAGGAATGGCGAGATAGATAGAAATAGCTGATGTAGTACATGTAGTATCACAGTGTACATGTGAAAGGAGAAAGAAATGAACACGCAAATACAAGTTGCTTGTGTGTATACGTTTATACACTTATATGTACATACATATAAATAAATAAATATATACATATATATATATATACACATGATCTCATACAAGATGCATACGTACTGTTTCTGCATGTTAGTACATATTAATAGCATAGTGACAACAACAGATAGATGGACAGCGTCGGTTTGCCAACTGCTGACACAGAGACTCATCTTCATGTCATCCGCAGCTCATCTCAACAACGCATCTGCACGCACGTGCGGGCAGACACACACAGACACACGTTGGTCTGCAGGCAAGACAGGAGCTTAACACCAACGTGACTAGGCCGAGTCAATGTGAACAATGTGCTCGGACCGAAAGACCCGGCAGACCCACTGTCAATTATCAGCTTGGCGGCATAGTCGACAATGAAGACGACGCTGCAAGCGGCTTCAACGACCAGGCAAATGGTGGAAGCAGTTTTGTTGTTGTCCTGAGGCACGTGCTTTTGAGACTCGAAAAATTTTGTTTGCTGCAACAGGTGGAAATTGGGACTGTGAACGCCAGCCCCAGGCCCCTAAGGCACAACCACCGAACAACTTCAACCTGAGTCCCGTTCAATCTCTGGGATGGATGCCGCCATGGTGTTGATCAAGCTGACGACCTCAATGGGAAGAAAGATGCAGGGATTCGGACAAAAGTGAGTCGGAACTGCCGCAGGTTCAGCGGTGAAGCCGACCCGGCGTCCGATCTGCAGCCAAGGTCACAGATTTACGGTTGCGGCTGCTGTGATATTGTATTGCTAGTTGCTCAGACAAGGAATGTTGAACACGAATATATGAAATTATATGTATATATGTATATCTACATATGCACATACGCTGTATCACATATACATACATATACAAACACATACATAGACATATACACTATTCACATACATACATAAATATATGTATACACATAGATATGTATGTACATGTACACACACACATGTGCATATGCATGTATATATGTATATATATATATATATATTGTATGCCTGTTTGAAGCTCTTGGAAACGGTGGGCATCCCTGCGACGAACATGCTAGGATGTATTGGTGTCAAGCCGCACACAACCCTACGCCCGGCATGCTCCTAAAGCTTAAAGCCGAACCCCCAGAGCTCGCACTGAGACTCTGGCAAGGACTGTGTTGAAAAACAGGGCGATCCCGGATCCTCCCAGAGAACAATGCGCAAGCTCTTCGGCAGCACAGAACTCAGCCAACAAACCGGCAGGCGAAAGTATAGACAGCTACGAGTCAGACAATAAGATCACAGGCCATAGCTGCGGCGTCCGGCCTGTAGGAGTGCGATGGAATTTAATGGCCTCAGCAACACATCTCCTGTTCCTGTGAAACAGCCGAAAAGGAGAGGAGCTCTCTCGGTAGCTTCTGTGCCGGCCATGTCGCGCGAGCAAAGCTCTGAGTTGAACTGAGTACCTGGATCTCGGGAACATTTGTGGCTCCGATTAGATACACTATTACTATTACTGATCTTTGACATAGGCAGGTTGAATGTGCCGCTGGACCTCTGTCTAAGCAGCCCCAAATTCGCGGTCAGAGTCCAGATCGGACTCCACCCTTTGTGGGTAGCCGAGAAGCCCCTGCTGCTGCTGAAGTAGGAAAGCCAAATAAAGTTGTTGACAAGGCGAAGCTAGGGTGCTGATGTCCGCTGCGCTGGGGCCGGCGTCCCGCTGTTTCCTCGTGAACGCCTGAGATTTGGGCAGTCAAGTTCCCGTTCAGCTACTCACAGCCGGAGCCTGCGCAAGTTGATGGCCAAACGCTGCAGAACCACCGCACGAAGCTAGTCTGTTCCGGGCCATTCTGGCCCAGAACAAGCTCCCCTTCTTATTCTGCAGCCTGGTTTCCTGTTTGCCACCACCCGCTTCAGCCCCAGCTTCATTTTCACGGTGGCCTGCAAGAAGTCAGCTGACTTCTGCTTGGCCTCGAAAACAATCGAAAGCAGCTGAGATGGAATGCGCTGTATCACAATGCACAACACCTGACACGTACTTCGTGCGCAACAGATACGGGAACGACCTATATGCATCGAAGTCAGGTAGAAACAAGGAAGCTTTTTCTGATCTGCGCAGCCAGAGAAAAACGATCAACGTGCTACTTGTTCGGAGCCTGCGCACAATTTACACCAGCATTGCCGTGCTCCTGCCGTTCCACCCTCCGAGGCAGCTTTGGTATCAGGGCGATTCTGTTCGATCGGCAGTATGGCCACGAGATGTTGGGAACACATCTGCCAGAAGCCGTCGAGTCTTGATTGGCAGGAAGCGACGTGGAGCAGAAATCGTAGGAGCCGCGAGAGTTCTAGCTGCAAGTCCCAAAAAAGCAGGCCCTGAAGAGTGCCGAGTAAGATCTGGGACAAGCGGACACAACTGGCGGTCTTGGTGTGCAGAGAAACCTCTGCAACAGCCTCCTACCTCCGAACTGGCAGAAAGCAGCGACATGCAACACAGAACAGGCTTGGCAACTCATACCGCAGCCGGGGCCGCTGCCTCCTCTGTCCTGGTTGTTTCCAGGAAATCAACGAAGCCAGCACTGAAGACGCCGCAAAACGTGGAGATAATGGCAATGCCACCTGAGTTTCAGATCGATCCAAACTCTTGTAGCCCAGCTTCCACTCTTTTGCTGTCATGACATCTGAGAGGTGCAGACATGAATGCAACAGAAGAGAGTTGTTGAGGAAAAGTCAGATGTCCGGAATCCGGACTGCAGCCATGGAGCCCATAATGCCCACGAAATGGATGATCTTGGCCTTAGCAAGGGGAGCCCGCACCACCTGCTGATTCCACACCCCCAGTCGAAACCTTGCTTTCACACTTCCAGAACTTTCAGGCATGGATCGCTTGTCAGTGAGTTCCTTGCATTTAACTGACATGCTGCCTCGACCGTGTAATCTGTCTCGGGGTAGTCGCCGAAGAGATGAACGATGCTATACTGCAGCGCGGAAAGGACACTCCTGTAGCGCTGAACCATCCTTGGCATTACAGCATTGCGGAGTTGGATGCTTGTCTTCTTCTTCTAGCCCCTCGCTGTGACTGTCAGCCGACCCAAGCAGCTCTTTATCTCTCCGAGCCTCGATACAATTTTGGCTTTGCAGATTCCGGCGGGCTATTCGCCACCGCTCATAGGGTGAGTGACCGTTGAAAAATACATCATGCGCAAATCTCAACTCCGACGATTCAACCGTGAGGGGTTGTGGGTTGGAAGTCCGAAATCAATGGAAGGGGCCGAGATGCGACAGGCCATCGTCCTCCTCACCTTCGCCGGTAGCCTCCCCTGATCACTGGTAATGGAAGGGCAATTTCTAGATGAGGTCTCTTCTAGGGTCCCTTGGTACAAACAGTACTTGTTGAAGGCGGCTTACACCGCACCGGAATCGGGAATGTCCCCAATACCTGATGTGCCTGCTTCTACATGGCTTGGGCAGTTTCTCTGTACTGCGAGATCCTAAACCACTGTGGCCACCTTGTGCGATTGGATTTTTCCATCGCTGGGCCTGCCCATCTACTGCTGCCCGAGCAGAGGGGCCTGCCGGTGGGACTGCGCCACCAAGTGCCCTCGGATTCTCGCAGATGTAGAGCCTCGGCTCGGGGATACTATGCCAGCGCATACTTGGAAAAAAACATAGAATGCTTCAGAACAGCATGATGTACGACATGGCGACGTTACGATGATACAGAACTAGACAGTAGGAAGCATGCCTCGACAAACAGCAATTCGTAACTTTTACGAGGAATGTGGTTTCGATTCCCTAAGTCTACCAAGTGTACACCAGCCTGCAACACAGCACGGGCTGAAGCATCTTGAGGGTCGACAGGCACCTGCAACATGTCGCCTATGGCTCCCCTGATGTGATAAAGAAGCGGGGACTTTGCCGCCGATGCCAATTTTTGCTGTGAGAAAGCAGAAGAAGCGCGGCTCTCATCAGGGCATCACCACGCCATCACCAAGTAGCTTATAGTAGCTTGCCGCCTGGCATTCACACACATTGCCATGTTCTAGGCCCAGCTGCTAGGCATTGCTTCAGCTTGGCTTGCGCATTTCAGCTTGATGGCCCGAAAACGATCCCCTCCCTGTTCGGGGTGGGGGTCGTTAGAAAACGGCTTAGCCGCTTTCTGGCATCCGGAAGTGGCGCTGTAGCGTTGAGAACACTAGCGGAATATTGGCTAGCGGTATGGGTGGTTCCGGACGCGGGTCCAAGCTCCTAGCCAATATTAACAGTGGGGGATCGAAAACGGTACTGCTGCTCAGAAGCAGTGTGGCATGCACAAACCAGATCGAGACGAGCGCACCACCAGCTCTAGCCAGTGGCCACTTGTTCAGCCAAAGCCTGAGTCACAAGTGGGTCCAGGAGCAGGGGTTCGAAATACAGCATCAGCAAATCAGTCAAACTGAGGGCAGCTCACACACCGCAGTGTGTGCACGGCGTAGAAATAGCTTTCCTCGAGGAGCAAAGGAAAGGCGAGCGGTAAGTAGCCCCGTGCGACTGAAGATATGGTTATGCGTTCTTCACATAAAACGAACTGCCGAGTGCTCCGAAGACAAGGTGCAAGGCTGAAGACGCGCAGGAGTCGCAGCAACACGACACTGTCGATCAGGTAATGCGTGTCTTGATAGCCTGTATGCCAGATCAGCGTTTGACGTTTGGTTTGCGCAGACCTCTTATCCGTCCGCCCACGAGGTGTCAGCAGTTGGAGCCGTGGTAGTTACGTTCTCGGGATTCGGAACACTCAGCGTAGGATTTAGGCTCAGAAAAAGATCAAGGACGGAAGCACGTGATGCGGAACCTCGGCCTTGGCCATCTGTCGTGACTACTTATCTATTCAGTTCCCATGTTTTGCAAGGAACTCTCTTTCCACTCTACAAGTTGTTCAAAAAGCAACTACAGCACCTACGCTAGTGCCACTTCCAACCCTGGAGGTCGCCTGGCCGGAAAGCTTCTGGCCGCTTTTTCGGATCCAAAGTATATACGAAGGCAAGGATGGAGATCAGATCCTGAAGCAGGGAGTGGATAGAGATCAAGCTTTTGAAGAGCAAGGAAGATTACGTATGCTTCGGCGCAGCTCGTTGCTTGGCTAACATCTTCAACGCTGTGAAGTACTCTGGAACGTGTAATTTGCATCACTCATCCAGAGTCGAAGCTACGGTATCCAAGATGCACGAACTCAGACCAGATCGCACAATTCAGGATGAGACAGCAGCATGGAATGACAGGCAGTATACGATAGCATCATATTGACTGTAAGCTGTAGACTCCCAGTGTCAAGGGCATACTGCACACAATGTCCACTACACCGAAACGGTCGAGCCTCGGTTACAGCATTTGGCCTGTGTTCGCTACAAAGGTCGACATTTGCTTAGCAGGACTCGCAGGTGGGCATCCGAGTTCAGTGGAGTGTCGCAAAGCCCAACCAGAGAAACTGGATGGCGCCAGCCCGTAGCCACAATCCGCAAGATGTATTCCAAGATGAACCATCTCAGCAGCAGGAACGATTTGATGAAGTGAGTCGGCATTTGACCATTTGCATTCGTTCATGGCTCAGGCTACGAAGACATCCGAGGCAGAGTTTCTTCAAGCAAAACAACGTCCAGCGACATGTACACAGACTGTGAACGAAGATCTAGCACTTCACTGAGTGTAGGTGAGGCCCGCACACAGTGGCCAGGACGTCAACCTTGGGCTCGAGGATATTGGAAAATGTCATGAACACAGGGTGTACTCTGTTCTCCCGAAGCATGAGCCCCTCACATGCATGTTCGATTTTTCAGGGTGCAGCGCGTGTCCAAAACCAGGCTTTGAGACTGTACTCTGTGCAAGGGGCCACCCAGAAGATCTTGCCCACGTCTGTAGTTGTATCTCCTTAGCCAAGCCCACGCTCCCACGAACAAAGTACGAAATGATGGAGATCTACAGCCTTAGAGCCAGTGGTTTGCTCTGGAACGAAGTCGTCATGCTAGCAAGGCATCACCTCAAACATTCGTTGCATCCAGGCTAGAACTTCGATACTGCTGCTACACGTAGAGAACGCATCCGTCAGTTAGCCTTTGACGACAGGGCAGTTGGGAGAAGCCACAGTGGAGGGTCTAAGGTGGTGGAAATTCCTCCACGAACATCCAAATTCGGTGCGTCGCCCCTTCTGTTTGGTACCTTGCGGCAAGGGCACAAGATGGCGCAAGCATTTCACAGTCCTAGTCCGTGCCATTTACTACAAATACTGAGACTCATCATTATCATCATCGTCATTGAATCATCATCATCATCATCATCATCAAGATCAGAATCAGTAGCACGAGAGCCCTCGCAAGGAGGTCCCGAGTTGAGAGAATCTTGAGTCGCAACTGCAGGTCAGGTGCCTCAGGGGTTCCTTATTGCGGAAGCCCGGCTTATGGGCGGACAACGTCACCTGTCAAAAACTCAAAGGCCCATGTCTTCAGACCAGCATCTTCCTTTCCATCCACCCCAATCCTCCACGGTGGCCACGGCAGTGATGAACGTGGTGGCGACCACCATCCTATGGCTTTCAGTGTGTCGGACGCAGACACTCCACGGCATGCGGAGAGTTCCAGATGCACGCTTCTTCGCCTCTTCAGACCTCTGCCTTTTACCAATCAGCTTGCTGCGAAGGCCAGGGGTTCTGTCAGACGACAAACCAGAGTATCAGGTAACCAGGTACATACAAAAGCATAAGCATGTCTGTTGTGCACACATGCACTCTTGTGCACATAGAAAACGAGCATGCCCGACCTCAAAACCATCCTCATCTAAACTTGAGTGCAGTTTATGTAAGTCATGACTGCCATCAGCAGATCTGAATAACAACGGCCGAATTCTCTTCGACAGGCAAGTATCACCACGGAGCAGGCTCGCAACGTGCGGAAGAGCATCCTGGGACGCGACAACCGCTTCTACTGTTTTGCGGGGGCCGTTGCCGCCGTCTGCTTTTCGAAGGGTTGGGTTTTCGCCTTGTGTGTATGTACGGAACAGGCCATCAGTTGCTTGCGGCTAGCGAATGCCGGAGGATCTTGTCTTGGTACGAGCACCCACAGGCAAACCAGTCTTGATAGCAGAGCAGTTGAAGCATTAGCAACTTCGTAACTGCGTAATGCTTCCTATAACCTATTTACGGGATGTTGCATGGGTTTTGTTCTGTAACTTTCTGCGAAATTAGAGCGACCGCAGCTTGTCTGAGCAACGGGCGAAGGAGTCCGATAGACCTTCGGATGAAGGTCCTCATACAGCATGTCGTAGACCTCTCAACTACATGACGACCAAGCGTGAATTATATGTTTTCAGGTCCCAGCCAATTGCTGAATCTCATGCAAGCGATTCTCAACAATATGTGCCGGTGAGCAGGATTTGGGTGTTCGGTCTCAGACTCTGTACAACATAAGTCTTCTTCACCCCTCCTCTGCTGCATATCTTCGAGCACACTTGAAAGCTTGCCTTCTGCCGCATCCCGGGTTCTGGACGGCAGCACTCCTGTCCGTAGAAACTCTCGCTGATTATTCTCGCTTCGGCAATTCGTCCGTGGTTTGGAAACATCGGCAAACACGGAGTCTACATACATCTTCAATTTTCTGTCAAACGGATAGGCGCGACCATGCAGACACGGTTCGTGCTTGAGGTCTGCCAAGCCGTCACAAAGATATGAGGAACCCCATCGAGCCTAACTCTGCGCGATCCAGACTACCGCGTTAGGAAACGATCTGCGGAACGGACCAAGGTGAGGACATCCGAAGACCCATGACTTTGGGCACCATACATTCCAGGCCTGCCACGGCCTTCTGTCAAAGTCGTCATCCTGGGAGGGCATCACGTCGGGGACTTCACAGAAGTACACAAGCTTCACACTGTGTCGGCCAGGAAACTTCGGTAGAGAGTTCCCTGTCCGCGCGGACTCTTTCCATGAAACCTGCGGCAAGCTTCGGGATCGCACGATTTCGAGCCCTCTTTCAGGTCAACAAAGAACTTGAAACTTGCTACACCAGCTTTGAATCAGAACGCAAGCGCCAGGCCCGAGCATGCCCGCATGGAAAGCACTGAAGCTCACTAACATCGCTCACCTACAGGATATCACAGTGTGGAAGCTGTCACTGTTGGGAAGATCCACTTGATGCACGACGAAACGTTTCCAGCAGTTGTGCCTGTCATGGGCACATGTCTATGTGGGCAGATCCTGATGCGTATATACTACTGTAAAAGCATCTGGGCAAGGAGTTGGAGTTGGAGCCTCACCTACCCGGCATTCTGCATTCCGCCTTCGCCAAAGATACCAATTGGAATGCAGAACAGCATGATGCTGAACAGGCCGATCACAGTGCCCACGGCCTGTGCGAAGCAAATGCATCGGCTGCATGCTACATTGATCCCCTATGGATCGAGCCAGCAAATTAGGGCGCATACCAGATTGAACTGGCCGACCCCCGCCGCCCTCCACCCGGTACTCCCGCTCCCACCTTGCCCATCGGAGTGTAGTCGGCCCAAGGCCACTCGCCGTGCCTTAGATGAGCCCACTACGTTCAGTGTGCTTGTTGAGACATGATTTACTGCTATTTCGGAAGTACCGTCAGGATTGGGGCTTCAAAACTTTCGGCATTCTCAGACTCCAAAGGGAGCAAAAGTTTCGACAGTCCAACCCCGTTTCTGCTCTGAGTCTCCATGCTGTCGCTATCCGGTGCAATACTGATGCACACGATGGCTTCGTGATGCCCTGTGCTCAATAGATTCGGCTGAGACATCTCTACCTATCCAACCCCTTTGGCGTTGTGCCCTTTCAAGGCTCACCGGCCTCAGGGTCAATCTCGTTCCAAAAAGGGGACAGTGGGACAGGGCTGACCTCCCAAAACACATAGGGGAAGCACATTTGGCCAAAGACGGCCGTGAGGATCTCGTCCGCTTCCAGGTTGTCGTTTAATTCGCCCGAAAACAGGATGAAGAGACCAACTTGTCGGATCTCAACAATGCAGATTTGCACATGTTCTCCTCTGCATCATGCTTATCATGCTTTATCCATGCCATGCACCTGCTGCCGAAACACAACTGTCTAGGTGTCTAAGGTCATCGTCAACAAGCGCGATCCAACTGCAAAACATCACATGCAACCCGCCTATACCTCAAGAAGACACTCGATTTCGCTAGCACACAAGCAAGCCACAACCAGTGACATCGCAACACATCAAGAAATTTCTGATCCCTGACTCAACGGTCATCTAAGATAAGCATCAAGCGGCTTCATGCGGGACGAGCGGCAGATTGATAATCTCAGACCAGAGGGACCGCATCACAGAGCCGTACACTTCATCATTCATCTCGTCGTCGGGGTTGTGCTGCACACAGCTTGCGACAAGACGGGGTGCCAGCACGGCTCGGGACTCTGGGGCTTAAGGTCTCAGTTCTGGCGGATTCATAATTCTTCCTTTTTCCGGCGATGCTCAACTTAACTTGGAGAGTCGAAACACTTTGTGCTCAGTCGTGGATCAAACTGCGTGGGCCATCGGAGGCCTTCTCCGTCAGGAAGAGCATGGTTGAGAAGAACATCCATAGAAACATAGAGAGTACCTGTGCTTGTGCAGCACCAATGCTACGGGCTTGCAGCTTCTTCAAGCACAGTCGGAAAAGGTACTGCAACAGCGATGACAACGATCGTTCTAGCATTCCGTGAAGACCACTGCTTTCAGCCATAGTATCTGCTAGTTGTGATACTCGATCATGAACCCGCAGCCAGGAAACGAGCGTCGCGGTCAGGATGCCGCCGTTCTCCTGCTGCGCACAGTTCTGGCAGCAAGCTTCGAGACTGCAACGATGCTTTTAGGAATCTGAAGCTTCGCCGCAACCTCGCTAGACTGTCCAAAACTCAGCAGCCCTCTGGACTCTGGATCCTTTCACACACCTGTTAGAAGTGACTCCGTGCACTGATCGAGATCGATCAGTGGTGGTAGCGTAGTCGTCGTCGTAGTGGCAGAAGCAGAAGCAGCAGTAAACTAGGTAGTATTATGTAGTAGCAGTAGTAGTAGTCGTCGTCGTAGTAGTAGTAATAGTAGTAGTAGTAGTAGTAGTAGTAGTAGTAGTAGTAGTAGTAGTAGTAGTAGTAGTAGTAGTCGTAGTAGTAGTAGTAGTAGTAGTAGTCGTAGTAGTAGTAGTAGTAGTAGTAGTAGTAGTAGTAGTAGTCGCAGTAGTAGTAGTATAAGTAGCAGTCATCGTCGTCGTCGTAGCAGTCGTAGTAATCGTAGAAGTAACCCTGGTCCAGTCCTAGTCCTAGTCGTAGTAGCAGTAGTCGTAGTAGTAGTAGTAGTGGTTGTAGTAGTAGTAGTAGTAGTAGTAGTGGTAGTAGTACTAATAGTAGTACTAGTAGTACTAGTAGCAGTAGCAGTAGCACCAGTAGTAGCAGTAGTAGCAGTAGTAGTAGTAGTAGTGGTAGTAGTGGTAGTAGTGGTAGTAGTGGTAGTAGTGGTAGTAGTGGTAGTAGTGGTAGTCGTGGTGGTAGTGGTCGTGGTGGTAGTAGGAGTAGGAGTAGCAGTGGCAGTAGCAGTAGCAGTAGTAGTAGTAGTAGCAGTAGCAGTAGCAGTAGCAGTAGCAGCAGTAGTAGCAGTAGTAGCAGTAGTGGAGTAGGGGAGTAGGAGTAGGAGTAGGAGTAGGAGGAGTAGTAGTAGTAGCAGCAGCAGTAGTAGTAGTAGTAGTAGTAGTTAGTAGTTAGTAGTTAGTAGTTAGTAGTTAGTAGTAGTAGTAGTAGTAGTAGTAGTAGTAGTAGTAGTAGTAGTAGTAGTAGTAGTAGTAGTAGTAGTAGTAGTAGTAGTAGTAGTAGTGGTACGGTAGTTCAGGTAGTACGGGTAAAAGTGGTAGCAATAGTAGTAGCAAGTAGTAGTAGTAGTAGTAGTAGTAGTAGTAGTAGTAGTAGTAGTAGTAGTAGTAGTAGTAGTAGTAGTAGTAGTAATAGTAGCAGTAGTAGTAGTAGTAGTAGTAGTAGTAGTAGTAGTAGTAGTAGTAGTAGTAGTAGTACTAGTAGTAGTACTAGTAGTATTAGTTAGTATTAGTAGTAGTAGTAGTTGTTGTTGTTGTTGTTCCAAGCGACATTGATGCATACATTCATGTACTTGCATTGCAGTTCATACAGTTCTTACAAAACAAACATGCATGCATATTTTTCATCATGTCATGTCTTACCTTCCTTCCCTCCTTGCTTGATTCCGCTCTTCCTTGAATGAGTGGGTGCAGGCATTCATTCGTCATTCATTATTGGTTCAGAGATTCATTCATTCATTCGTTCATCCATTCCATTCATGCATTCATTCCTACAGTTACTCATTCAGCAACGGATTTATTCATTCGTTCCTTCCTTCCTTCCTTCACACGAAGTTTGATGCCGGCACTGATTTAATCTTCATTGATTCGTTCATTCGTTCATGTTCGTCATTCATTCTTTCCATTCACTCATTCATTCGTTCATTACGTCCTTAGTTCGCTTCCTTCCTTCCTTCCTTCCGTGAATTCAACCCTCTCGTTCATTCCATCCATCCATGCATGCATTCACCCATCTAAATCCATTCATTGTGATTCATTCAATTCATTCACTCACTGCATTCATTCATTCAGCCATTCATTCCACTCGTTCCATTGAAACCATTCATTCATCATTTCTGCCGTTCCTTCCATTCGTCCAATCATTCAACCATACTGGTTCTTCCATTGTTTCATTCATTCATTCGTTCATTCATCCGTTCGTCTGAAATCGTTTAACTCGTCCTCTCATTCATCCATTCATATACTCATACCTCAACAAATGGAAGCATGGATGCTTATGAATGGTCACATACCTCCGCATTAGAGTAGGCCTCCACTGCAGGCACTAGCAAGCGGCAAAACGAGCCCCTAACTACGAACAGCGCCTTCACAATATCCAGCATGTCTCGGAAGGAATGCAGGTATCGCTCCAGTTTGAAGATTCGTAGTACCTGAGACCGTGCATCCGAAGGCTTAGAATAAAAAATGACAAGGACATAGATATGTTGGACGTGCTCCGCATGCACGTCTAGTCGGCCATGTGTTTTCTGTGTGGCCACTGTGGCAGCCTTACTAGTGCTGGAAAAGAAAGCAATAACCTTATAGGCTCCCGACGGAGCAGCCGCTGCTAGATTCTCTGGGAAAACATCTTTCCAGCACCCTGTAGTGACGCTCTTGACTCACTCATGGTATTCTGAATGCTTACAATGGCAAGGCTTCGGTAACTTGCCGGCAGCCACAACAGCTGCGCAGCAAGACATTATCGGGCTTTGTCCTTCACTGGCAGCTTTGCAGCTTGTAGCTTTGACTCCCTGATTCCTGGAATCCACAGGCGACCTCAGTCGCCTGGCTCCTTCCCTCGCGCAGCATCGCAAATTCGCAACAAAGCAGGCCGACTGAACCTGAAACTTCGCTTCATCCACGTGACGCAAGCAGCGCAAAGGATCTCGTGGTGATGCGGTCCCATGGACTCGTAGGTGCAAAGGTGCAACAAGCCTGGCTATGTCGGGAGCTGCAAGCGCTATTGGCTATCGCGTGTCTCTACAGGAACACCTGACGGAATTTTGCTGTATTTCAGTCGCGACGTGGTTCTGTGTCGGGCTGCGAGGACGTGCTGTTGGGTTCTGGAGTTCGTGTCGCTCGCTGTAGCCGCACCTTAGGATTCACATGTATATATATGTATATACACATAGCCTCCCGAGAACACAGACACAAACAGAGAAAGCAAATAACGTTGAGCAGCATCTTCAGCTTCTTGCGGGCTCATTGCCCAACCCCCATGAAGTTTTGTTTGGTTCGAAGCCCCTGCCCCAGTGCTGCACAGATGCAGAAAATTAGGGGAACCTGCCTGGTAGCCAAGCCAATAGATCGACCAGTCCATACCTCGGTTAGGGTTTTCGGGCATCGGGTTTGGGAGTTTCGGGTGGAGGTCTCTCCTCTCCTAACTCACATCCGCCGGGTGGCCCCGAGGTGATGTAAGAGCCGCCACCGACGCTCATTCTGCTGGCCTTTGTGACAGACATCTTGGCAAGTCCCGATCTGTGTGTCTTGGGGAAAACTTACGGTGTCTTTGTCGTCTTGTTGGACCTGTACCTAATGCTCTGGGCATGACTACTGACTACGCCTTAGCTCGTCACACAATCTCGTGTCTTTAGTGGCACCTTGCGAAACTGTCTCTGAATTTGGCGTAAGCCCTTTGGCGCACGTGCAAGCATGATCGTGCGAGGTCGTGCGCATGCACATGTGGACGGGCTGGAAATTGTCTGAAGCTCTCTACCCATCTTCAGCATACACAGGGCGCTTTCGACAGGGCACGTATTCGCACAGGAAGCAGATCGCAACCGTCCCGTCGAGGTAGGCGAATGTAGTCTTTGAAACATGGACCGGCACCTCCCAAGCAGCCGATATTATAAGTCGCTTCGGAAGAGTTCAGCCAAATGCGGCTACAGGCTAGCAAGTTAGCAAGTCTAGAATTACTGGGGCGACGTAGGCGAGGTCAGGTTACAGAGGCTTCCTGACTCCTAAGCAGTAGCCGTGCTACTGTTTGTTGATGCTCGGCTTGCCTCACTCCTCACGTCAAGACTTCGTCGCATTTCGTATGGTCTGAGATACAGCAGCTCAAGCTGAAGTAGCAGGCACCGTGAAGAAGGTCGCATGGTCGGTGTCTCTGGCTGTGTAGTAGAAGTAAGCCAAGATGGATCCTTGGAGCCCGATACAGTGTCTTCGACGACAACCCATGTTCAACTCATGGCTCCAAGAACCAAGTAGGGCTTGCCGCCTGCCTTCTCAAACGTGTCTTCGACCCCTGGAGAAAGAAGGGCGAGACCGCTTGCGCCCTGACCTTTAAGTCACCAGCCTGAACTCCCCTTCCCCTGTCGGATGTCTCCGGCTGAAGCTAACCACACAAACGAACCAGCATTCAGGCCCTTGGCATGCATCGAAGCCGGCTGAGGCCCTGGCCGAAAACCAAAATCGCAGTGGCCTGAGCCACATGACACATGAGTGACGCAGAGCAGCATGGTCACCAGCTTTGCCGTGTCGGAACCAAGTAATGTCAAAGGGATCCGGTGCGCAATTCACTTGGGGTTAGTATACATTATGATCCCCTTCCTTAGTATAACTCCGTGCGAGACGATGCACCTTAGAGGAACCCTGAATCAATCCAACGCCCGTCTTGACTATAGAAGTGTCTGCCAGGGAGCGAAGCCCGGTCGCATCTTCTGCTGCGATTCAGCCTGGGACGTGGGAGCAATCTTTGGGACAGTGCAATCTGGTGCAAGGTGTGGAGACGGCGGCATGACCCTGAAATGCTACAGGGCGACTCATCTAATCTGTTACATTCTCTTACTCTCGATGATTCTCGATCTGATGGCAGCATCTTGTACAATCATGATGACGACGACGATGAAGGTGGTGGTTATGCTTTCATGGTCAACCAGCATTGATCATCTGCGTTGCTGTGCAGAGTCTGTGCAGAGTCTTATCCTCTGTTTCGACAGATCCCGGAGGGCCTGGAGCTCCAAAAGCTGGGCAGCATCGGCCTGAGCCGTAGATGGGGTTGGCGGTTTTGCAGCTTTGTTGCGACTGCCAGGGTGGGGCAGGTGAACTTCTCCGGGACACCTCAGAATCCTGTGCAAGGACAGTGGACTATCAGCTGAAGTTCTTTCAGGTTTCGAGGCTTGGAAGTTTGGCGGTCGCAGCTTCGTCAGGGCCGAAGGCTTGGAGAAAGGCGGAGCTTCCTGCCTGCAAACCGGAAGCCTTCAACCGGTGCTTTGCTCGGAGCCTCGAGGCCCCAACTTGTGCTGCCCGGTGCCAAGCACAGCGAACTAGGAAGCGCACATATTCAAACCCCTCCACACCCAGAAGCCCTAAACCTGTAAGCACGTGTGCAACTCGGGAAACGATTCACCTCTGTCGTTATACCGCTTACCCTTCTGTCCTTGCTTGATCTCCTTCGATCTTACACCGAAGGCCTAGGCCTAAGGTTGCCTCGTACTCTTGGGAGCGGGCTTGGTATGTCATCCGCCTCGTGTGCGCGGCATCGCCAGCTCTTTCTACCTGTCCGTGGCCAGCAGGACCAGGAACCGTCCAACCGCCGCTGCAAGTGCTCAGTGTACTTCAGCTTTCATTACCCTGCAACGCTTCTTCTGGCATACGTCTTGTCTGAGAGATGCGACGGCACATTGAGCAGAGCGCAGAAACTCAGAAGACCTCAGATTGCCTGCTAGAAAAGCTGTTTATCTATTATCGGACACTAGCTTGAGAGCACCTGCTTCAAGAACGAAGGCTTCAAGATCCAGAGCCTCCTCAGCATCGTCCTTCTGGTCCGCATCGAAAAGGGAACACTGTAGGATGCCTGGATCGGCTGTGCCCAAGCCCGTGATCCGATCTACGAAGCGATGCTGCACGTATTCACGATCCGTCGTTGTAGCCACGTCTGCCGGTGCTTTTTTGGGGAGGCTGCCTGGTATTCATTCCAGGCAAGGTGCCCAGAATCATGTGACATCAACTGGCTGCTGCCCAGAGGCTAGACGGCAGTGCGAAAAGCGGCATGGCGAAGATGCAGCAAACGCACACCTCAAGCAAAGGCAGCAGAATGGTCACCCTCGGATCTTTCTGCAAGAGTCCAATAGAACAAAAGCACAGGAATGCCATCACCCTGGAGGAAAGTCCAGCTGC